ATTGATTCATGAGGACAGTAACGGCTCTTTTACAACGTAACAAATACAGCAATGCACTCAAATCCGTATTGTGTTTTACGTCGCTCTTTTGTGATTTTTTAATAAATTTTAATACTTAACGGTTGGTTACGCTTGCGTGTTGCGCAATAAACACATCGCTAAGATTATTATAAATTATTAATCAATTACAACACAATGAAACGCGATTAGCTTTATACGTTGAATGAATAAATTTAGACATTAATAATGTATGTTCCATATTATGCGCGTTTCCATCACTGACGATTTACGTTGTTTTACTAAACATGTAATAAGACACGACCTTGAGTCTTACATCGCACAAACGTTTTACCCATAAGTTTTGCATAAGTTTGCGTAAATCTTTGCGCAATTGTTTTCAAGTGATGTGCGTTGTGATTTACTGTTGTTTCAAGTACACGTTTACGCGCGCGCGCGCGCGTGTGTGTGTGTGTGTGTATGTTTGCGATACATATTATTTAATCGAAATATATCAGGTGACTCTGATGGTGGCAAATTTATATATCGTTTCTCTTTTGTGATAAATAAACAGTGACATTTGTCGACGCGCCCCACTTAATGACAACAATAATAATTAAATTTACAATCTATCGCATCACATATGAAATTACGCAATTAATTCGATTAATTTATTTGCGATACAATATGCTATAATGCCGGTGAAAAGCAATTTCCATTTTAGTGAATTACGAATCGAACGCGCGTAAAACTTCCTTTGACTGATTTCAATTGCTAATTTCCCCGCTCGAAATAAATCAATCAACTTCTGCAACTATACAATTCACACGAATGAAATGAAAAGAAATTACATTGAAATTCTTACACACGTATACGTCCGTGAAGTATCTTCAATTAATACACTCTTGAAGAGAATATATTTTTTATTTCAAGATCTCAGTCTCTTAACTCACTTTGGTGAAAGTCCTCTGTTGCGAAAACATACATATATTGTGTTTTTGAGAACAATAAAATGTATTTCCAAGAAACAAAGAGGTTTAAACGCGCAAATAATCATTGTGTGATATCGTATATACATTATCGCGAAACTTCGTGTGGTTTATTCAGTTAAACAAATTCGAGATCTTTCTTCGAAGTTTCTCGCCACAATGTTCGCAAAATATTCGTAAATTATTCATGAATCTACGCATACGATCGCGTTCGGAGATAATACGCGGCTTTGTGCGAAAATCGACGAGGAGCTGGCGAGACTTGGCGGGACGGGAGGGAGGGTCAAACGGAGGCACGATCAGATAACGGGGGGAGGCCTATCGCGCGCTTTGCTTGCGCGTCTCTCTTCGAGAGAAGAAGTCGCGAGTGTAAATGTTGCGACCGCAGAAACATGGCAAGGCGAGAGACCCCTGGGCTCGGCGCGCATAGCGCGACGGACGCGCGTGTTGCCTCACGTGTTGGACGTGATGCATCGCGTTTCCGACACGTGATGCCTACTTCATCGGTCCGTCCGACGCGACGGTCTCCCTCCCAGCGACCGTTCTGAAGAAACGCGAGCGTCGCCGCTGGTCCGCTCGTAGTCGTCGCCGAGTGCTTGCCGAGAACGCGAAGCGCATTGCGGCGGTTTCGAGATCGCACACGGGAGGCATTGTCGCTTTTGAGTGTCGAAGTGGAACCCGACTCGTGCCATCATCAATTTCTCCTGCCGAGTTTTTTTTTTAATAATCGCTCTCACTACGCGCTACTCTCTTCTCTCGAGAGGAGACAGAGAAAGAGAGAAAGAGAGAGAGAGAGAGAGATATTAATTCTGCTTTTTAATTAAAGCGGAAGATAGATGCGTATCTTATCAAGAGAGGCAAATATAACCGGACATATTGCGAATTAAAGTACTTGGAACGGAACTTGTACGAAATTTTCAATAACATTACGTTATTGAAAATACGTATTTTTTTAAATCAACAAATATAAGAATATAAAACATCTACGTTATAAAAAGATCGTGCGGAACAGGTGCTAACAACAATCACCAGAACCAAAAGTGTCGCGACACAGAGTTGCTCGATACAGTGCCGCATTGGTGTTTGTGCGCGAGCTACACACACACCGAAGAAATACAATTTGAAGAGTTCCTTCGAATTTGTTCGTCGTTGGAAAATTGCTACGAGAGTGAACTCCAGTTTGACAAAGAGACTGTGAAATATCGACCTATCGATATAGAACTTCGTGTTTTTAAAAAATACATGTGCGCGCGCGTGTGTGCGCGCGAAAACACACTTTCCGGAAGACACGCGTTGCGAGAGGGAATAGACTTGTATAAATAAAGAACGATCAATTTTTTAGAGCAAAAATTCGACATTTCTGCTCGTTCTGTGAAAAATTTTCTTCGTGAAAGAAGATTCGATATAAAAAGTGACATCTTCCCTCGCTTTCGCGCGCTTCGACGCAGCCGTTCAACGCAAAATGGTCACGCACAGTGTGGATAATATCTTGAACATGCAGTACTACCCGACGAACGTCCACATAGACGCGTCGGTTCACTCGCCGCCGCTCAAGAAAAGACGTTGTTTGAGCAAAGAGGTGAATACATCACACTCGAAAGCGAAATCGATATCGCGTTACTATCTTCTCGCTCTCGGAAAAGCGTCGGACGCACGCGGTGTGTCTTTTACAACAACGTTCCACGGAAAAACTCGCTTCGAAAAATGTTGGTCGAACAAAAATGCGATTTCTCGCTTGCTTCGAGATTTTCCGTCTGACTTTCAATCACGAGAATTTCGGATTCTCAGCACCTTTAGAACTTTACTTCAACAGTAATGTGTAGTCGACACTCGAGTATCGTAAAACTCACGATTTTTCCTCGATTAAAAGTTTCACTTGAAAGAAGAGTTGGGGGTTCAGCCGCGCTCCCCTTTTGAGATTTTATCACAGAACCGCGTCGTTACTTTGTCTTGATTTATATTAAATTTTACGTCATTTCGCATAGTCCGCTCTTCCGTTTTCCGACGTACAACACGTAATACCACCTGATTGTGTAATATCGCATGAATGAGCTTCATGGAAAACGTGCTGGCCGTGTGCCAGAAACGGCGTCACCACACGTTGCCATCACTTGAAGTAGGAAGGCTTTTACACGTACTCGTAAATTATAGCGCGAAACGTCGAGAAACGTCATTGTGACGCTGTTTTCACCTGTTTGCTATTTTTAAAAAGCGCACGATCATCGAACAAACCTTTCGGTCTGCTTTTTTATCTGTTGATAAAAAAATTTAATGAATACGTTAGACAGTCGTGCGTCGCTTTGCTCACGCCGAGCAAATAAATTACGTGATCATCGGACGGAGCAAAAACAAAATATATGGTTTTGAAAAGAGACACATAATCAAGATCGTATAGCGTTACTTAACTGTGTTACTTAAGATTCGATTGCCACAGACGCGACGTAAACGCGTTAAAAAAAAAAAAAAAAAAGATGAAAATTATCTATTTCGAAAATGAATATCTGAAATATGAAGAGAATCTTTTTCTTTTTTTTTTATGGAGCATCGCAATATATCTCAAAGAAACTTCGATTAATTTGTTTGCTTTCTCGATCGCTCTTTGAAAGTTCTCACTTTTCGACCGTGGACCACAAAGCACCTAGTCTAAAATATTCGACATTTAATATTAATATATATCCGTTTTTTTAAGTTTTCTCAGAGAAAAATAACCAAGTTGTAAACAAGCAAAAGTATAAAAACAAGTGTTTTCATCGTTCTTGCACAGTTCTGTTCGACGAATGATTCGGACTCGAGAGACAAAACATCGATTCTCTGCTCACTCGAGACTGTCTTTCCGTATTGTTGGTGAGAGACGGACGAATATTTCGTCGAAAAGCGATTACCTATATACGAGGGTAGTCCCAGAAGTACCCGACCTGACGTATAGATGGCGGTTGTTGTTTAAAAAAAATCACTATGACCGAAAGCATCAACCTTATAAAGCTTAAGTTTCAAGTTTCAACATGCTACGTTGTTTATTATTAGTTCGGCAGCCATCAATAGTGAACGTTCTTAGGACATTTGTAAACATGGAAAAAATTGGTCTCAGGTGTAAAATAATGAACCCATGTTTCAAAATAATGAATCCATGGTTATGAATCAAAAACTCTGCCTTATTACTGCAAAACATCGCCAAACACTCGATTGAAACATCCTCACGACGCTGTTTTTGTTCAATTGTGAGCAAACGCGGCACCCATCGTGCGCACAGCTTTTTCATGTTCAGATTTTCAGTCAATATGCGTTCACTATTGATGGCTGCCGAACTAATACTAACCAACGTAGCATGTTGAAACTTGAAACTTAAGCTTTATAAGGTTGATGCTTTCGGTCATAACAATTTTTTTCAAACAGCAACCGCCATTTATACGTCAGGTCGGGTACTTCTGGGACTACCCTCGTATATAACTGAGAGATAACGTGTCGCGCGAGCGATGAACGTGCCCGTGACACGCGGCACGTTCAAGTTAATTGTGTTCCAGCGTCGAATCGCAACGTGACCTTTGAAAAAAAAAAAAAAAAAAAAAAAAAAAAAACAAATTAAGAACGATAACACGTTTTTACATCGCGCGTGTGAGAGCATAGAATTGTTTCAATCTGTTTCGTTTCGCGAAAAACAACTGTTTCCGAACAAAACAAATGTTGATCCAGACCGGATCGATTGTCGAAGGTCGATGGGTCGGAAAATTATTATTATTGAACGCTACGTTGAAATGACTCTCGATTAATTAGCGGCATTAGGTTGGAAATAAAGTGCACACGCACGTGCAACCGAGCACTCGCCGACCGACCATTAATCCAATTATCGCTACCGCTCGAAGTGAGAAAAATCAAAAGTGCGTAATAGAAGAAAAACATAAAATTATTACGGCAATTTATTTCTTGTTGCAAACGGTTACAAGAAATTAAATAAAAAATGTCTCTTTTTCTGTCATCTCAAATAAATAAAGTCGCGTTCTTGTTTGTGTGTTGCAGCAAGATCCCATGTCACACAGGATCATCGAGAAGCGTAGAAGGGATCGTATGAACAATTGCCTGGCCGATCTCAGCAGGCTCATACCGGCGGAATATTTGAAGAAGGGCCGAGGCAGAGTCGAAAAGACGGAGATCATTGAGATGGCGATTCGTCATATGAAGCATCTCCAGGGCCTTCGTCAAGGTGAGTTCGCGCGCGTCAATGAGAGAGAAAAAAAAAAAACAATTTCATAACATCAGCATAACAAATTGTTTTTGTATTCAGACACCAAGCACCCGCCGATAACACCGTTGCACACGCATCCCGAGGACAGTGTCGACAGCGTGTCCCATTCGACCGCCGCATCCACCGCAGCGGAGCACTACAGGCTGGGCTTTCAGGAGTGCCTGAGCGAGACAATGCATTTCCTCATAGAAGTCGAGGGTTACTTGGCGAGGGACACTCTCTGCGTGCAGCTCATCAATCACCTGCAGCAGCACTGCGACAAGATTCTAGCCACGAGTACGTTCAGGAAGAAAACATAAAAAAAATAAAGAAACTTTATAAATGTTTGTATCTGTTTTACTTATTGATTCTCTGAATTTCTGTTCTCCAGGTGACCGGTTAGGTTTTCCTCATACCGAAATGCCGGTGATGAACGGCGCGATGAACGGCACCGGCTACGGGCATCCGAGCATTCCGACGATATGCCAACCCAACGGCGGCCATTCGGACCACGGTTCGAGTTCGGGCGTGAGCTCGTTCGGCGATCCAGAACGCCCGTTACTACGACCAGTGATCGTGCCCCCGCCGACGATCGTGAGCGACGACAGCAATCACAGCACTCATTCGCACAGCACGCCTCCCGCGACCGGTGCTTCTTCCTGTCGAGATCGACCAACTAATTACAAGTTCAAGAGCTCCATCAAGCAGAGGTTTTCGGCCGAGCGGGTGAAGTCGTGCTCCTCGCCGGTGTCGAACGGCACCGGCTCGTCGGATAAGCCGTCGTCGTTGTCATCGTCGTCTTCGTCATCGTCGTCGTCGCACGGAGTTCCGATCTTCGCGCTTCACGACGCCGGCTCGTTCTACGTACCGCTGACGGTCGAAGCGTCTCTGATCAGACCGCATCTGAGCTTCATTCCGGACACCGGGCCCGACACCGTTCTCCATCCGGTCACGATATCGGTCAACTTCAATCACTCGATGCCGCCCGCGTGGTCGCAGCATCACAGTCCCACTCACCAGCATCAGACATAAGAAAAAACAGACGCAGCTGACGCGAAACCAATGGTTTATCATCCGGTTGCTCGTGTCCATCGTAGAGGGGGAGGAATGCGCTCTCTGATCGGTTACGAGAATCCGATCGGTCTCTATACTACACACACTGATCTCTGACGGATCATCGCTTTGATATCTGATGGCGATTATTTGCGAAAGACGTTGCGATGGAATTGCGAGACCGTCCGTGGCTCTCTCGCAAGAGAGAGAGAGAGAGAGAAAGAGCCGTGAAACAGAATTTCGTGATTTCTCTATTTTTATTAGTCGCAATACGCGTTGTGATCAAAACGAAGCGATCTACGTACGGTACAATTCATTGGCATATTTCATTCAATTAGAATCATCGTAATTTTAGCTCGCTAAAAACATCTATCTTTACGAGAAATCTCGAGAGAGCATTGTAGACCTTCGCGATATTAGTCAACACGTTTGCGAAGATAGTTGAACAACCATTGCATCGTGTATGGGTCGCTTGTTTGATTGTACGTTGCGTGAGGGGAAGGGGAAATGCCGAAGTCGAGGATGTTTGTACATTTACCTAGGCTGTGGGTTGTTTTAGCATTTACGAAGTTTGAAAGAGGGAAAGAAAGAATGAGAGAGAGAGAGAAAGAAAGAGAGAAAGCGCGTCAAGGATTGTACATAGGTAGAGTATTAAGAATAGAAAACTTCAGGTTGTTCTGGCTTCGGTGCAAGTGTGTGCATGTGTATGTGTCTTTCTTTGTTGTCAATCTGTATAATTCACACGTACGTTTTCCTCCTACTTCCTCATCTGCGGACGGACTTCTCGTCCATTTCTCTTCGCTCCGTTTGTTCCTCTTCTTCTCAACGTTTGTTTTCCGTTTGTCAGGTCGACAGAAATTTTCGCACCGTTTTTTTTTTTTTTTTTTTTTTTTTTAGTTTTTTTTCAAAACTCAGTACGGAGGAGTATGTGGCGAATATGTACCACGCAAAGTGTGAATATTAATCGATATATTAAGTATTTTTCGTTAATAGGGAGAGAGAGAGAGAGAGAAGAGCACGCGCCTCAGAGTGAAGGAAAAGGAATCTGGAAACAAATCTGTTTGTGCGCGAAAATAATTTAATTTTCGTTTGATCGAACGCAACTCACGACAATAGAGAAACGCAAAGAAGAGAAGCGACTATTTTGTTTCGAGATTCCGACTAATTGATTCGTATTGTACGTATGTAACGTATGTAAAAATAACGTTTTTTTTTTTTTTTTGTTTCGTATTGAGAGGAGAGTAAGTTAGTTAGCGTAAAAGTGCCTACATTGTATCGAATTCAGGAATTCCACTTACATAATGTGATTTGATGTATGTATGTACGAGATGAGAGATGTTTCGTTTTTTCTTTTTTCTTTCCGCGAAAATGGATATATCCCGTGTCACGTTCACGATTATATATAAACACACACACACACACACACGAGAGGATTGAGTCTGCTCGATGCCCTGCCATGGAAGAAACGGGCCTCAGCAATTAAAGACTGACCAAGACCTGCATTACACTAAAAACAAAAACTAAAAAAATAAAAAAATAAAAAAAAAAAAACAAAAAACAATTCTTGTAAGATCACTGCATTATATTTGTACATACCACGTCTAGTTGTAACTTTAACCAACATGAAAGAATTTTTTTGCGGAGAATAAATTATATTTACCATAGATATCGTCTCTTGCGACACGTGAGAGGTTTTGCGTACAAATTTGTTTTCTTTCTACCTACTTTTATTTTTCTTATCTCTCTTCCTGCTTTTCCCATTATCTATCCTTCGAATCGCTCGAAGCGACGGAGAGAGAAGAGCAAGTATTGTTTTTTCAAACATATTTACGCAGCTGTGTTTCCCACTTCTCTCAAATCCTTTATTGCGAGAGAAAATTGAAAAGGAAGAAAATAACAAGAGACAAGAGAGATGCAATTAAAGAATTTTTTTTTATTACATCAACATAATACTGGCTAAGGGTCAAAACAATATCAGAGAACGCGTCTATGGCCAGCGGGAGGGAGAGCGCCGAGATCTTTGAACGTGGGCGACTCGCGACGCGGATGTCTCGTCCTCTTCAAGATGATTTTTTTATGGTCTCCATCCATCTTCGCAAGGGGAGAAAGAGAGAGAAAGAGAGAGAGAGAGAAAGAGAAAGAGAAGGGGAATAAATGACTGACGCTGACGCGCGATGGAGAGGAGGGAGAGTTATATAGTCTAATGATCTCTCTAACTACAGATATATCTTATAAGTAAAATAAAACTATAATCGCACAGCGCGAGGCAACAAATCAAGTCTCGGAACAAATCAGCCTTAACGAACCCTTCGAAGAGAAGTGATCGAGAGAGAAGTCTTGCTGGGACGGCGAGCCAGCGGCGGTCGCCTCGGCGTCGCCGGTCGCCCGGTGAGCGCATGTGAAATATCTTGCTGCTCCCGCGATAGGATATCCGACGCGGCCGCTGCGCCTCGCTCGCTCTTTCTTCTCTCGCGAGCGAGAAGAAAACCCCGAGCGCGGGATTGTCTTCGCGACACTCCGTAGTGGTTGTTGTTGTTGTTGTTGTTGTTGTTACTGATGCACGTGTGTGTTGTATCAATTGAAAAACCTAACTACACAGAGTCCAAGGGAACTGAGTACCTGGTAAGATCGGACACATATCGTCAATATCGATTAATAATGATAAACGCGGTAGAACGCGGAAGGCGAACGCTCCTCCTAGCATATGTGAGGCGTGCGAGGGGCGTGGGTGAACTGAATGTGCAGATTCGGATAGATGCGCGGATTCAACACTACCGGGTAATGTAACGGGGGTAAGCACAACATCTTATGACTTTTAGTATTAGTATTTGACGAGTATGAGTCGAGCGGAACGACCGCCGTTGTCGCCGCCGTCGTCGTCGTCGCGTCAACGGCGGCGGCGACACGTTGCGTCCTGACGGTGGATCCCTGCGCGATGGTCACGCATGCCGCCACAGGGCACCAGCCGGCGGACCGCGAGCTTCCGAGGAAGCTTGATGGTTACTTTTTCTTCTGGGCTTTCTCCGCGGCCTTTGTTACCTTGCCCTGGGTATCTTTGAAGGTGACGCTCTGCGGGAGAGAAACATTACACAGAGTTTATGGTACCAGTGTAATATTTTTACCTTGAGGACGTTACGATCGAGCTACTACTTGAACAATTGCCAGTTGTAAGTTTGAAATAAACAGAACGCGGAGAGAACTTTGATGTCTTGCCATTTATATGAAGCGTCGTGATAAACTTGAAATATCTTTTTTTTTTTCTTTTTTTTAAAGAATTTCTTTAAATAGGAAGTCGTGCAGTGTGTTTAGAGACTTTAAGTTAATGTGTTTGAAACGAGTGCGAGAGTTCGCTTTGAAGTTTTCCGTGGTAAATTACCTTGATAACACCCACGGCGACGGTCTGACGCATGTCGCGAACAGCAAAGCGGCCCAGAGGCGGGAATTCCTGGAAAGCCTCGACGCACATCGGCTTGGTCGGTTGCAGCATCACGATGGCGGCGTCTCCGCTCTTGATGCTCTTCGGATTCTCCTCGGTGGTCTTGCCGGTACGACGGTCGCATTTCTCCTTGATCTCGGCGAACTTGCAGGCGATGTGAGCGGTATGGCAATCTAGTACCGGCGTGTAGCCGTTGCTGATCTGTCCTGGATGATTCAACACGATCACCTGGGCGGTGAAATCGGCGGCGCCGCGCGGCGGCTGATTCTTGGAATCGCCGGCCACGTAACCGCGTCTCAGTTCCTTCACGGAGATGTTCTTCACGTTGAAGCCAACGTTGTCGCCGGGCAGCGCCTCCGTCAACGCCTCGTGATGCATCTCGACCGATTTCACCTCAGTGGTAAGAGCCGCCGGCGCGAAAGTCACCAGCATACCTTGAAATTAAAATAATTAATTTAGAGATGAATTATAATAATTAAATTTAGAAATCGTGAAATCTTCAGCGCGAGAGCTATGATTTACCTGGCTTCAGGATACCGGTTTCCACGCGACCGACCGGCACCGTTCCGATACCGCCGATCTTGTAGACGTCCTGAAGCGGCAATCGCAGAGCCTTGTCGGTCGGTCTGGAGGGCGGTAAGATGGCGTCGAGCGCCTCAATGAGCGTTTTCCCGTCGGCATTCCCGTCCTTGCGCTCCACCTTCCAGCCCTTGTACCAGGGCGTCTTCGGGGACGGTTCGAGCATGTTGTCGCCGTGCCAGCCGGAGATCGGCACGAAGGCGACCGAGGCGGTGTTGTAGCCGATCTTCTTGATGTACGACGACACCTCCTTCTTGATCTCCTCGAAGCGGGTCTCCGAGTACGGCGGATCGGTCATGTCCATCTTGTTGACGCCAACGATCAGCTGCTTGACGCCGAGCGTGAACGCGAGCAGAGCGTGTTCGCGCGTTTGTCCGTTCTTCGAGATTCCCGCCTCAAATTCGCCAATACCGGCGGCGACGATCAGCACCGCGCAGTCCGCTTGGCTGGTGCCGGTGATCATGTTCTTGATGAAATCACGGTGACCGGGAGCGTCGATGATGGTGACGTAGTATTTAGCCGTTTCGAACTTCCACAGAGCGATGTCGATGGTGATGCCGCGCTCGCGCTCCGCCTTCAGTTTGTCCAGCACCCAAGCGTACTTGAACGAGCCCTTGCCCATCTCCTGCGCCTCCTTCTCGAATTTCTCGATCGTTCGCTTGTCGATGCCGCCGCACTTGTAGATCAGGTGACCGGTCGTGGTGGACTTGCCGGAGTCCACGTGGCCGATCACCACGATGTTAATATGGATCTTCTCCTTACCCATGATGTCGAGGCGCACCAGCTACCTGCGCTGAAAAAAGTGTCTCTTGTTTGAGATGCAGCGGGACGAGCTATTTAACCCCCACGGCAGGTGGGAAAAAAAGTCGTATCGATCTCGAAAGATGGTCTGATGTTACGTGTGTACAACATGTATCTCGCTATAAGATAGTGGATATGACGCACCGTCTGTCTATAGACTGGGTCTTTGTTGCTAAATTGGTTTTACGTATTGCACAGACTGGAGAAGCAATTTTTAACCGCCGATGTTCAACTTCCTACGCTCGCTTCGCCTATAGATCGATGTTCTAAAACTGTCGCGCTTTGTTGTTTAAATAATCGTTATATATGTACACACACACACACACACGGTAACCAGCAACAGATGCTTCACACCTTGTCAATTGTTTGTTCGGAATGCGTGACGTTAAAGATATTCAGTGCCGAGCGTTTAATGACAATAATTAATTTATCGAGATCTCACGCGCAAAACTCGTTGATTAGTTATTAGAGAGACGATAAATATTGACGAAGGACCTTTTTCAAGCCACAAAGGGTATTGATTCGTTTCAAGGAGAGACCCACGCAGAGCTCGTGAACTCTATCTCTCTTCCTCTTTCCCTTTTTCCTCCCCCCCCCTCTCTCTCTCTCTCTCTCTGCGTGCGTGTATAAATATGAGAGTATCGAATCGAGTGTGCGCAATTATTATTCCGAGATCGTCGAACAGGGCAATTGCCGTCCGTTTTTGCGCACGGAACGTGATTTCACAATTCGATTACATCGAACGAGCCGGTTCAGAGCTTAAAGAGATCGATCGAGGCGTTTCGACGAACTCAAAATGTATCGCACCGGTGCGGCCCAATCCATCCCGCGAGTCCGCCTTTCAGATCAATAAAGGGCGCGCGATGCTGCCCTACAATTCCGATCTACGTACGGGGTGCGTTGCGAGGTGATGCTTTGAGAGAGTCGGCTCTTTGAAGTGAGGTACAAAGAGGTAAATTAAACGAATAAACGGTGGGTTAAAGCCTCTAATAACACACACGAAAGAAACTGTTTCTACTTAGATTTGACGAGAAGTACTTAAACGAGTGTCTAATTTTAGAAAATACAAATTTTTGATTTTTTTTATTTTGTACGAATTACGTGTGTAAAATCAAAGAAAACAGTATTATGTAACAACGCGTCTTGAAAGTAATTTGCATTCTCTCGAAAGCAATCGCAACGTTCTGCGAAATTTGTCAGGGAAAATTGACAAAAAAAAAAAAAAAAAAAAAAACATCCAGAATTTTGAAATATCGTGCTAATGTAACGTGTTTTGAAAGACGTCTATTTTCATCGAGCACACAGGTCGTTTGTGTATTCAGCTGGGTTAAATTACACGGCGAGATAGCAATCGATATTTAATTTCGTAACGCAGCAAGTAGATTATACCGAAATTAGTCGGCCCTAAATTGGCTTACTGAAGTGTTTTCCTTTAACGCGGCCGCAAAACTTATAAAACGGAAGAATGCGCGATTTTACTCATCGACGCAACTTGCGTCTTACGTCTTCAGACCACAGCTTAGAAGATGTAACAACGTAGAAGACTAAAAAAAAAAAAAAAGCTAACATTGATAAAAAAAAAAAAACAGTAAGCCTAAAGAGTGTGTCGATTGGTTGCACTTGTTCGTGTCGCTCGTTTTCTCGCTTTCACAACGGCTTGCAACTCGTAACGCGTATATACCGGTCTTATCTAATAATAGTCACAGCCCCACGAAGGCGGCCATTTCTCAGCGGCGATTACGCGTTTCCGAGGCATCGTTGCGAATGTCATTGCGGAGAATCTCTCGAATCGAGATTCGCCGAATGCGATTTTCCCTCTATCTTTGTTTCCGCGCAAAAATGATCGGAACGCGCGATTTTATTCCGACGTTTCTCCGCGCGCGTAAATATCACCCTGACAATTGCATCGCGATTTATATTAACCAACGTACCGTGTTACGACACGTCATGCAACGAGGTTAAGACCCCGATCCATCGTCGGCGAGTTGGTACCACTTACCGATCGACTGTTGTCCGATCAATCGATCGCAACAACGTACCCCGGCCCGCAGGGGAAAGACCAGCCGGGGAAATAGCGCACTCAGAGGAGAAGCTCGACGAAGGGTCTCTAACGTGCACCACGTAGTAACAGCGATCAACGCCTGATCGAACGCGTAACAATCAAGTCGCGTAATGGCCGGCTTTTCTCGCCGCTTGGTGCCGGACTCGCGCCGCGCGCACAACGACAAATGTCCCTTACCCGCGGGGAAAAGCCCCAACTCTCCGGGGCCCGCACACGAGTTCACACGAGGAGCGGACAAGTCGAGGGCGGTTTCGACTGAGAGAGAGAAGCGGCGCGCCGGCTCAAATCGATACTCGGCTTAGCTGGCAACTGGACAAGCGCGCGTGAGCGAAGCTGGCTCGCGAGCGGCCACCGATCAAAGGTTCGATTTATTTTCTCATTTACAAGAGTATTCGTTTCAGAATCTACCGATCGCGACGACAAAGACGTTGAGGATAATTTAAGAGGAGGATTTACTCACCAGGAGATTTCGAGCTCGACGGGGAGTCTCTTCTTCGAAAATCACCGCGGACGTGCTTCTCCTCGTTTTGCTGCGCACGCAAGCTCGAGCGCAAAGGAAAGAGAGAGATAGAGAGAGAGAGAGCGAGAGACGACGAGGAGGGTGGACAACGAGATGAAAGCGAACAGAGAGAGAAAGAGACAGAGGGGATGCCGAGGGGATGAAACGATCGCGATGCCATCTGAGTGTTGTCGATGCGCTTGCGCTTGCAAGCTTCGTGCACATAGCGACTCTTCCTGATTGGTCCCTGACCGGCCGGCGAGCGTCTATTTTCCTCCGCGGCGAAGACAAAAGAACGACCTCGCGCCGGCCGACGACGACCGCGATCGCGGTGCATTCCGCTCCGATGCGCACGCTCGCGCCCCGGCTTGTTCTGAAAACATGTTTTTTTCACAGTCCGGCTGATACGCGAAGAAAACGCGGACGATAATAATTGGATGACAGCCGATGTGTCTTGTTATTTTATTGATTTTTTTTTTTATATGCGCACGGGGGGATTTGTTTAAAAGCTCATACAGGCGGGGAGATCGAAGCGTAAAGGTATATAGATTCAGCGCCGGAACTTCCCAGACATAAAAAGTATGAAATTGCGTCGATTCATATGCGTGGATTTTTGTGTGATTACATTAACTTAAGGAAACGTCAGTGACGTTTCGAAGCAGCTGATTACAATATTAAATAAAATTTGTTACGACATCTTATTTCCTAGTCTAGTATGCATGAAGCTTTATTTTTTAGAGATTACTTATATAAAGTCGATTATTTTACTTACGTACTCGTAACACTAATCTATCACGTACTCATGTGTACTTTAATAAGATATTTGTTGCAATTAATTGCAATTAAAGAAATTTTAACAAAAATCAAAACAACAAGATTCAATTCAAAATCTTTGAGAAAGATGTCCGCGCGTCACGTGCTCGCTGCGGGTCATAAATAGAACCGAGCAGTCATCGCGAGAAGCCATCGTGAGAGAGGTCAGTGCTGCCTCTCCAGAGAGATCGCGAAGAAAATGAAATTCGACGTGCGCAGTAATGTAATCTAAGAGTAATTGCGTTATGTAATCAAATCTGTGATAGAACTTTGGCGCGGGATCGTACTTACACACGTGTCTTCTTCGAGAGGATGGAGTGCTGTAGCGATTCCGAAGAGGTCAGTGCAAAATCGTAAACGCAACTACGATGCGAGCAACATCAAATTAACAGCATCGTATTCTTATATATTGACAAAATAAATCAAACTTTATGTAACTAAATAAAGTTTTCATAATTCGACTGCGTGATTTTCGATCTTTTTTTTCCTCGATCTAACGCGCGTGCGTATTACATTTCTAACTTTGTGTCTTGATATGCGTAAAATATATACACAAACAACGTTCTTTCCTTTTTCTCAAATACCAACTGTTGATACCAAGACTTCAACGTCGAGTCGCATTGTCTTCCAAGTGTCTGACACTCAAAGGAAGAAGCGGACGCAAATATTGGCTGACTACATCCAAGTCTGTACTACTGGAGCAATTGCTTTTTTGTTGTTTTATTTATGTACAATGTATTTTTCTACTTGTACAAATATTTTTCTCTTATTGTACAATTGCGTTCTTTTACTAAAACTGTAAAACCTTTCTTGTTTAAATCCATCGGCTTTTGAGACAAAATACGCCGCTTTATGAAAGAACGACTCTCTTTTCATCATTTTGATATTCTCGCGGTTGTTGATTTCCGCATCTCAGAGATGATTCACTTCTCTTCCTCTTTGCGGATAATTCGATCATAAAAATGATATATATATATATATATATATATATATATATGTATAATGCGTGCGTAGATTTAAAAACGACGATTAGTCGTCGCGAGTGACGAGCGCAACCGAAAATAACCGACGTCGGTCCGAAATAACTCTAAGGAATATATAGAAACGTAAAGGAAATGCGTGTGTGGAAACTCACGTGGAGATTTCCACATGTGCTCTCCGTACTGTGTGTGATGGTACGGAAGGAGAAACAACTTCTTCGTTATTCTAGTTCGTCGGTCCTTGACGTATTGCCTATTTTCGATCATCGTCGAATACCGCGAACAAAAACTTCGGATTACGAAAGACGAGACACCAGGAAATGTTTACCTCAATTTTGTATATAAAAAAAACGTGCAAACAAAAATTTCGACCAATTTTAATTAAACTCGCGGATACTTCCTGGGTCTTTACACCTTTGGCGCAGCGTGCGTGTTAATTGCACACTTAAATGAACGTTTCAGGTTTTATCCAGGTCGATCGTTACGTCAAGGCGACCTGCTTTCTTTAACCCTTTGTGCCTCGACCGCGCCGAGATGTATCCGCGAGAATTATCTTACGTTAGTTGTCTATTTATTGCTCAATTATTATAGTCTTGAACGTGTGCTGCGGTCTCTCTCACGTGTCTCTACTAAATTTACGACTTTGCGTCATAAACAAATTTCACGGCGCAACGAGAGCGCAATTGAGAGAATAATTCCACGCGTCGGAGGGAAATGTCGCTTTTTTTTCTTTTCAAATTACCACAATCGCTTTGAAGACTGTGAAGTCTCTCTTTGAGAATCGCTCTCGTTGACAAACGTCAAACGTCGCGCACTTTGAACGGTCAAGTGAGACGCGAAAAGACGTCAAACGAGACGAGAATCGCGTCTGGCGCCCAACCAAGGTCGCACGGATGAAGAAGTTACGATCCCTCCTTGTGTGTGTGTGTGTGTGTAGGTGACCCGATCTATATCTTGTCTCGGAGTTGTTCACGACACCGGAGAACGCTGGTGTCCCATGGACACCTTCAAAGAGCCCATAAAAACAAAAATGTTCGATATATTTAGTTTCTTTATTTTTATTCCGACGGACACAGGATGCAATTAAAAAAGTTTTTTTTTTTTTTTTTTTGGAATAAATCTTCGGTTTACTCTCTCGTTATTAAGAATTTGCGACGTGACGAGATTCGACTCGGCATTACCTTCGATTTATAAAGCAGGTGGCGCGTGTCCAGATGAAAGCGAAACGATCCGCGCCGGCTGTGTGACTAACGCGAGACCACGACTGCCAAAATTCTTCGCGATTGTGACGGAAGAAAAGATTTGAGTAACGACGCCTACGTGTCGTTGACACCGGTCGGTAGCGCGTGCGTTTCACGTTGACGCACGTGCGAACGTTTCGCGTCAATGTGCGCTGTTTAACAATTTTCTTAAATTAGGTTTGTCGAATGTTTTAATTATTTTATGGATCGGGTGCAAGATCGCGACACGCTTCGTTAATTTCGACGACGAGCGTTGCCACGTCGGATGTCTGTAAATTCAAGGAAATATAGCTCGGTGTCATTCGGGACGATTTTACGACTTTAATTTGGCTTCCGTTGCGTATTTAAATTCGTCGCGGAAAAAAAAGAAATCGCGATAGAGATTCGCTTAATTAATCCGGCGCGACGCGCCAAAAACCGAGAAGTCGCGCGTTTGATCGGTCGAAGAAATATATACATATATATATAATTGTTTTCGCGTGAAAGTTTCCGATCACCTTCCCGTGTTTAGATACCATTAATTATCAGTCTGAGACGAGGAAACAAGTTCTTGAAGCGTTACGTTTGATACAGAAGAAGAGATAACGAGTTCCCCTTTCCCTCTCCCTCGCATACAACAGATTCGAAAGTTTCTCTTCGGAAAAATTTAATTTTTTGCAGAAAGAAACATTCTTTCGCGGTTTATTTTTTTTTACGTGTTTTTTTATGTGTTTATGAAGAATATGTAGCCGATTTCGTTAAACGTTCGCGTTCCGGTATGTTCGTCGCGCCGCGGACAAAATCTGCGTGCACGGTTTATTCATAGCCACACCACGCGCGGTGCGATCCTTGATGTCGTGCGTTGTCTTAGGTTAAAGCTGGTCTCTCATTATATTTCCGGCGCGGTATTCGTCATTCGCGTCGACGGATTTTACTTTGCCGCTTTTTTTCACACCGAGAGAGGAACGAGAAAAGAATTCAACGAGGAGGAGGTTGTTGTTGTCACGCGGAGGGTCAATGACAGAATTTAATTTATTAGGATTTCCCCCCACGCACACATGCGGCTATCGTTGCACGGCTAATTTTATTTTAAATATAACGCGTAGGGTTTCTTTTACACGTAACCGTCTCTGAAGTTTGCTCGATATGTTTTTCTAAAAAGATTGAATTTTTCTTACTCGGTTCTAAGCGACAAATAAAGAGCAAATATATTGTTAAAAATCTTTGTTTTGTTTTTCGCGAAATAATAAAAATGATTTAACGTGCGCAAGAGAGTTTTCAAGGAAGAAGATTAGAAATTTCACGAATGTTTCGTTAGAAAAGAAAATTTACAATTTGTTTGTTTGGCCATTCCGTATTCGTCACGGCAGGCGAAGTATTTAACACGCGTGCTCGTTCATTGAATTGCACCGACGCAAACATACTGATCTAATTCCGTATTTCCGGTGCGCCGAGAATGCAACGTCATAAACATCAGTTTGTTGAAGATCCATTTATGGCTGGATCATCAGGATACGTTTTCGTTGGTCATTTCTCGCGCAGGTGGGAGGCAGCGATAAAGAAGAGAACTAGATTTCACACTTACCGAGCTCTTCCCCGTAAAATTGATGGGATTATCAATCGAATTACCAATCTCGTGAAATATTTTTAATTGCGACGCTTTGGGCTATCTGGTGCGCGTTTCTGGTTCAAAGCGAGAGACGCGCCGCTCGGGTCGTATATTATCACGAAACTCTGTCAGTGACAAATCGTTGCCGGGCGAAAGTTAATTCGGGAAATCAAATTTGCGCCCTGTCGCTGCGCACACGCGCATGTGTTTCTTCCCCCAATATATTCAGATTTCCCGAATAGCCGCCGTGTGACGAACGTCACTAATCTCGCGGGCTGATGCAATTTCAATCATTTATCGGAACTGTCGATTTATGAGGCTCCTAAAATTAATCTGTAAGATTACACACATATTGCAGGTACACACATATCGCACACACACACACACACACACATTATCCCGATATAGTTTTTCGGGAATATACACGTTAGAGATTTGAAATACAGTCACTGGCGCAACACGATATTGCATTTCGCATCGGAATGCTAAATTGCGCAGGAGATTCGTCCTTGCCAAGAGTGACAAGGTAACTAATTTCACGGCAATTAATTATGCCGTTATGAAGAAGGTAACACGCTTCAACATATCTGAGAGTTTCCACATGTATGTTTCCGTGACTATATGTATATACTGCAAAATCGAGAGATAAGCCACACATTCCGTGAGACCGGAGATTGATATTTAACATTGGTCAGGAATGCGCGTCTGCAGATCTCAAATGTTTTCTCTCTTTGGTGTGTAGCAGATTTTGTGTGAAACTTGAACGTGTTTGCTCAAAATTCTCTCCTTACTGACGAACTGGATTCCTGACTTGTTGCGCGTTCTATCATTTAAAGATAATTGCGTACCTACTTGGACGTCGATAAAAAATAGAACTGTTTTGTATTAAAACGTTGTTGAAAAAATAATAAAATTTAAACTACGTGTATCTGCATAAAATTTCTTGTATGTTTGCCAACATACAAGAAATTTTATGCCTGCCATTTAATTTTTAGGCCTGCTCTTAGCAAAAACATTCTTACGAATATAAAAAGAGTTCATTTTTTTCTTAGACACAAACAGGTGTAGAGCCTTCGTTTTCGGCGAATATTACATACCGAGTGTTTGTCCGGCAAACAAACAAGGTGAGCGTATTCGTGGGCGTATTCTCGAGAACGGGCAGAGCATGAATGAAATCTGTCGGGCGGGCTATCAAAGAGTCATCACTTCCGGAGCGCGCGCAGAGTCGCGAACTGGCAGCCAATCCAAGAGTGTCCGAGAATCGGCTCGAAAACGCGGCAATTATTTCGCGACCCGCGCCGAAAACTCGAAAGGTGGGAGTCCCTTCCGACACCCGTCGGTTTCTTATAAAAAGAGACGCGCGGCAACGCGACCCCGTACTCTCGCGTCGGCAGTTTTGAGCGAAAACGTCCGCGCACATTTCTCTGATATATCGGAAGTGGAAATCCTATCCGTGTCGGTTCCCAAAGATCAGATTTTTTACTACAAGTGAGATATTCTTTCACCATTAAGGGTGACGACTTGTTGGTAACTTCGTTGAATCGCGACAATTATGTCCTCGCTAATGTATGTGAGTATCAACGGATTTGCTTCGTTACTTTTCACAAGCATGCGCTTTTAAAAAGAGGAAGTTCAATTATATAATTACATAATTTCAAAATAATTTATAATTCAAGTTTTTTTAATTTGTGAATAAATATATATAGAATGAGACGAAATATAAGATTTTTCCTTAGACAGAAAAAATTAGACTCTAGTACATTTTAGAACAATGCGAGGTCAAACTTTGAGAAAATTTGTCATTCAAGTACGACTTGCGTAACCTACTTCGAGTCTACGTTTGTTTATGTTAACATTTGTAGCAACAGACAGATGTTAGTCGAGACGTACTTGATCGACGAGCTTTTATTACGAAGCTGATATTTCCGCCGGGAAATCTAAATGAGAAAATGTCGATTAATTTTTTTTTTTTTTTTTTTTTTGAATTATCTCTCCTTTTCTACGTATTTTATCCTATTTTACACCTACGTACTATATAAGAATTTGTCAAGATGCCATTCAGACGTCGTCTTTTATGGTCAGGGTCACTCCGTGTGTTCTGTTTTGGCGGAATTCCAAAAATTCCTGGCTTATTGGGCGTCGAATGAACTTAACTCGATGACGTCTGTCAAGCGTTGCGGTCTTCCTTTGACAATCGCGAATTCGAAATTTTCCAACGTTCGCGTTTTTAACACGATGTGCGTTTTGATAAATCGTTATCGTAAATTATGCTTTTTTGTTTTCAAAGGAGTCTTTCGGTGCCAAGGTTGCCATGTTCAACCAAAAGGCCAGCAAACATCAAGACAAGCAAGGCAAAAACCCATTCACGTCCGGCCTGAACATCGAGAAGCCGAAATTCTCCAAAGAAGAATATGGAAGGTGTGTAAACCGTCGTTTGCTGCGAATTTGTTTTCAAAAATTATTTTCTTATTAATTTTCTTATTAATTGTAAATTAAAAAAAAATCAAATTAACTTGCTTCAGACCAGAAGCAGGTTCTTTGTCTGATCTTCGCGGCCGCAAAGCAAACGCTCACATACTGAAAGAAATTCTGGAGCTTTGCGAAATGATCAGCCAGGAAGGCACACCTTGTCGAGATCAACCCGATGTGATCGGCATCATGTTTGGCGACCTCTTCAACATTTATACCAATATTAATGACAAATGCGTAGGATTGCTCTTGAGAGCGAGGAAACAAAAATTTGTGGAATTCGAGGGCGAATGTCTCTTCCAGGCAAGCATCGCAATTTTTCACTTAAATCTAACGCATTTGTTTCATTTTATCCAACATTTAATTTTCATGACTTGTTTTTCTTACACAGAGAAGAGACGACAATGTCCCGATATTTTTGGTCAAACCAATCGAAGAAATTCGCCAAGAGTACAAACAACGATTAGAAGAAGTCCGAAAGGAAACACTACTGGCTAGTTAATGTAAAGTACGTCTACTTCTATTATTTTCGAGAGAATATTCCATTTGGTCTTACTTTACGGTAATACATTTCAAATAATCACATTGTATGTAAATTGTGCGCAAGGTTATTGGATTTTGTACACTGAGAGTGAGAATGAGTGCGATGATGTAAATAATTTGCGAATACAGTGCGAGATAAAAATGTGACGGCGTAGTGTGACCGATGATGACAATGTAATTTGTATGAAAAGCGTGTAAGAGAGTCAACTTTGTAAATATCCAACAATAAATAATCGATACACATACGTCAAGTCGAAATTCGTCGAGCGACAAATATTTTGTTTCTATCAAGCGGTAGTGTAAGAAAAAAAAAAACAATTAATTACCGCAATGATTATTTCAATGCGCATATGTCGTCGATAATTTTTTTAAATAAACGAAGACATTCCTCGAGTCTTCTCTTAATTTTGAGTTTTAGTCACACCGGGAGGAACGGGAAAGTTTTGAAAGGAGAAAAGAACGTGCACCAAGACGGATAATCGCATAATTTATATTTGTATATACAGTCACTTTACAACGCGCTCTTTTTGTTACACAGTGTAGCTCGATTACTTTGGGTCAGCGAACGCCAAGTGGATTTCGGTAAAGACGATATCAAAGTAAAAAAACTAATTAATAATAAGAGAGGGAACGCCCTGCCCGCGTATATCTCTCGCGCGACAAAGATGAGCGACGAGGGGAAACGCCGAGGGGAATTATATATTTTTTTTTTTTTTTTATATGTCCGTCCAAAAAGCGGAAGCTTCGATAAATCTCTTTTAACGTCATGCGACAGACAGACAGTACTAGTTTGTAGCCTCGTATTTTCACCGCGTATTTAGCGCAGAGCGCGGTCTCACTTGAAGGAAGGCTTGTCTGACATTTTCAAAAGCCTATGAGACTTGGTGCCGCAGGGTTCTAATAATTATTTTTTTTATTTACCACGCAGAACATCAACGACAAATCGTAACATTTAAACAGCAGTGAAAATAGGAGGGTTGTAATCGTTTTCCTGAAGGCAGCAAGTTCGATATTACAGCATTCGGATGATGCGCGTCGAATCGCATCGATCATCAAAACACACTGTACACTCCTTCCGAGAAAAAACATCGATCGTAGGATCTCTATCTCTAGATTGGCAGTAGCGTTAGTCATAATATTGCAAAGGAAGCTAAACACGTTTTCTCTTCCTATCTTCTTTGCGTCTTCCTTCGACTCGAAACGGCGATAAAAAATATATTTCTTTATTAAATAAAATATCGACAAAGAGAGAGAAACAAAGAAAGAACAAAATATAATTGCACGAGGTCTGTTTTGCCGCGCGTCGTGTTATTATTAACAAACATTAAAACCGGAATTTCAAAAAGAAGGACTATATGCAGTGATGAAAACAGTTACGTTTTTTTAATAAAACTAGCACAACACAGACGCGCGCTACTCGCACGCTGTGTTACGGTTTTTATTTTAACGTGTTGTACCAGTAAACACAACCTGTCACCGCGATGACAGCTAGTTCATACGTTTTACAAACCATATAATACACATGATGTACATATAAGATATGTCAGAAATAACTCACAAAAATATCAAACTCGAAAAATAGAAAGAGAAGAGAGTGAAAAAACAACACGTGACTAAAGTCACGTGTCTTTAAAAGCGTGACTAAAGTCGTGTGACAGAGAAAATTAGAAAAACACCACGTGACTTTAAAAACGTAACTAAAGATCACATGACAAAAAACAGAGTAAAAAAATATTACATATATGTTACATTATATTTATATACATATATATACACCGTGACCTGGGTCATTGACCTCGCCGCGGTCACGCGACCGGGGTCAGTGACCTCGCCGCGGTCACGCGACCGGGGTCATTGACCCCCGCGGTCACGTGACCGGGGTCATTGACCTCGCCGCGGTCACGCGACCGGGGTCATTGACTTCGCCGCGGTCACGCGACCGGGGTCATTGACCTCGCCGCAATCACGTGAAGTCACTGACCTTAGACACGTGTGATTACGGTATATATATAATATTATATATATATATGTATGTGTGTATATATATATATACTCCGGTATTAATATATATCAGCATTAAGATAAAAGTGGCAACAATCAATATTGAGAAAATCGATTGTGATTATGTACACACGCTTTTTCTGGTAGGATCGAGTCTCGAGAAGCGCAAATATATTTTTCCGTCATTCTTCTTCTATGTCCTCTCTGATCACGCGAGGAACAGTGCGACTGACGAAATGTTTTACAAATTGCTTTGTTTCTTGTTTCTGTAGTTTTCTCCGCCGATCCTCTCTGTTTTCGCTCGCATATTGCTGGTCGTACGATTGCGCTTTTGATATGTCAACGATAAAAGACAAACGGGTGGAAGGGAACGAGGAGTGGTTAAAAAGGGAGGTTAAAAAACTTTCCAAAAGACAAAACTGTCGAAAAAGGAGGAGATATGTATGAAGATTGCGCGCGATTGATATTCGCGTTAATCGCGGATATGGTTATCTTGGACAGCGATCGCAATTGATCAATATACATATAATATCGCAGGATTATTTCACAAAAATATTAATTACATCGTGAAACGTGGCGTGACGTGAAATTGATAAAATTCGCAGCCGTTCACTGGATGACGTGATATCTCAAACAATTTTTTTTTCAAGATAAATCTCTTCAACATATGTTTTGCGTGTTGCGTCAATTGTTTTTTTTTTCTCACGAAGTAACTAGGATTTTTGCGAAATGTACAAAGAATCTTCTCAAATATAAGGTCGTAAAAGAAATCCGACGATGTTCGCCGTAATTTCATATAAGCGTATTTTTTTTTTCAAACCGCGTATTTTGGACGCGTCTCTCACATTTAGCGCCGAACATGTGATTGATGCGAATTTTTCATGACAAAAATGTATAATAATTTCTCAAATGTTATCGGCGAGAACACATTCGACACATTTGGCGATAAATGTGTAAGGTAACGTACAGAGCGAAACGAATGAGGCTTGATCCATACTATCAGGGACGGAATTTGAAATTGGATTGAAAGTTAATTTTTCAGAAAGGCTACTTTTGCGTGCATGCGTGTGTGTGTGTGTGTGTGTGTGTACAACAAACTTTTTTAAGAAAATAATTTCACACACTTGCTTTTTGTTTTCCATCTAACTTACTTATATGATATTATTCACGTCTCAAAGAGTATTGACTAAATCAAATTAAAAAATTTAGAATTCTCTTCTACACAATTTTAAATTCTATAATTTGTGTGAGATAAATCTAAAACATTTAATTCTGCAAATTATATATCTTAAAAAAATAAAAGACACTCTATGCAATCTTACGTTACACATTGATCTCACATCACACATGTGTGATAAATAAAAACATTTATCCAAGTTTTTACGATATATTACGTGCACATTTTGCTGTGCTAATCCATTTGTTAATTCAATGAATTTGTCAGACCAAATTTTTGGGATCGGACATACGTTGGTTACGTTTTACCGTGTTCCAACAATTGTAACAATTTTGTTTACGACACACAAACTTTTCAAGTAGAACCCATAGTTTGAATCAAGCCTTTCACACATTGTTTCCGGAGAGATGTTTGTTAAACAATTTACGTTTAATTTAACGTACGCGGACGATCGACGTGCGATCGTGGACGTTGTGTGTACAAGCTTCATCATCGATCGTTCGTTTGATGCCTCTTCACATGGAAATGAGCAATCGTTGTTTATTTCTGTGTAACTGTTACAACAATTTGCTAATAATCGTAATTATGCGGCGATCATTTTACACGGTAATATAATAATAAACATTTCTTAGACCGTTTCGCATTTTCGATTGCCAACAGTGATTTACCGAAAAATCCCGATTCGATTAATTAAATATTTATTCTTTTGCCAATGTGTTTTATTTTATCTATTTTATGAGACACGCGCGACGTGATATGCAAAGTTTATCTTATCAATGCACATGTGCGCTTCGCAATTGCACGGCTTTTCTATATCATATCCACCATACCGTTTCGACAAACGACGTTATTCAAACGTTAAAAGAACTTTTTTTGTATTCTCCCCGCGCAACTTTACGAGAGCGAGGGTATACGCGATTTTTTTTTGTTTTTTGTTTATTTCTCTTCGGGCTTGCGCACACAATGTTGGCAATCGTAAATAATAATGTTACGACGCTTGCAACCGCAACTAAAGTGAATTACAGTCACCGATGGTAGAAAAACAGCGAAAAATTCGACGGTGTCTCTCAACGTCACGCGTTATCAAGAGTTTTTCGCAAGAAATGCGCGCGCGCGCATTGAACGTGCCGGTGTGTTATCCTCGATTTATTTCGCAAGGGCTCTTCGCGCCCGTTGTTATCTAGTTTTACGTGACCGCGGAAGGAAGCGCTTTTCTCCCCTGATAGTAATCACGTAAACATCCGTAACGCCGAGCGTTTCGTCCCAACCCCCGTCTGATCTCGCCCACACGTGCTGTTGGCAGTTCTGAAGGAATTCTTTGCGGAAAGCTATAGAGAACGCGGTCGAGTCTCCGCGCGAATTTTTCAAGGGAATACAAAAGAATTCAACACTCCGCGAAACTCTGTTCCAACTGTTCGAAGCTCTCGCTCGTCATTGTCTTCGCGATGTTATTTCGCCAGAAGAAAAGTTTAGCCACGCGCTTTCTTTTATTTCGCCGAAACAGACAGAGGATGGGATACGTTATTTAAATAATCAACAACGCTCGTTTGCGAGGTACAATAATTTTTATACGATTAACTTAGGCGATTTCTTCTTTTTTTTTTTTTTTTTAACTATTCCGTCCGGAGGGGAAGAACACGTTCACGTCACTCTGGTTGAACATGCGTGCGTGCGTGCGTGCGTCCGTTGTGTGTGTTTATTTATTTATAATTTATATTTCATATACGTACGTGTGTGTGTATGCGTGTGCGCATATATGATGCGTTTTCTCGGAGTCACGCCGAAAAATAAATGATGCGCGCGTCGCGAGCATCGTTCGAAGGCTAATCCGTGAATTGGTTACGATAACTAGGTCGTTACGATGTGATCTTAGGTCCGGTTATTAATTATTTATTATAATACACTCTAAGAACGAACTCTGTGTCGATTCGTTTTGTTTTTTTTTTTTGTTTAGTAACGCGTGAGGGGATGTTTTTTTATTTACACAGGTCGCATTCGCACAAGAAACAACTTCCGTCACGTGTATTTCTCTCTCTCTCTTTTGTCGCTCACGCACGCCTCGTTGCTGCGAAGCGGTTACGCGCTAACTTCTCTCACAGTTCTCTTGCTCTACTACATACTTGCGAAGAACTTTACTGTTGCATCAATGGTATAACGCAAGCGTGCACGCAGACGTGAGTTCCGATAACATTCCGTTCACGTTCAAATCCACAAGCTAGCGACACGATTGATTTTAATTCCGTTCGAGTTAATTATCTGAATCTATTCTAATTTGCACAATCAAAATGTAAAACATATCAACTGTAATAACATTTAACTTGAGTTTTGGCGATGTACAATACAATAAAATATAAATAAAAATATTATACTGAAATATATTGTACTGAAATTTTAATTAAAATTTAGTGAAAAACTCTCTTTAGTCCTTGCGCAGATAAAAAGTGAATGTGTAAATTTAAACAACTGATTCTTGTAAAATGAGATGTGAGGAGAGCGAGTGTTAACAATAATTTTCTTTACCTTTATGCGAGATCTGAACGCTCACGGATCACGCTCACGCCGGCTGTCATTAATAGCGTCTAACTACATAGAATTTAACCCCGTATTCTGTCCCTCAAGTGGAATGTAGAGTTCTCTGTGTAAATAAGTATATATATATATGTATAATATATATTTATATAATATTATAATCTCTTTTTTGTTTGCGCGCATTTTGTAAAAAGCCTTTCCTACCTAAAAAACAACGTGAGTCGTGTGAGTTTCGCGTTTACTACTGGCAATAAATCAACAAGTTCCTTTAAAATACAATTTTCTCTATTCTGGAAAAATTCCACGATCAGTTGTTTTTTTTTTTTTTTTTTTTTTTTTTAAATTTCTCTCTACCGAACACTCAAACATAACACCGATTTATCTTTTTTCTTCTTTTGTCGTCGATTTTTTCCGCCGCCAGCGCGTTTTTTTTTTTTTTTTAAAGTCAGTCTTGGCATCGTTAAAGGTGGGCTTTAGTAAGTGTACGCGCGTGTATGTGTGTGTGTGTGTGTGTGTGTCTCTCGTGTACAACTTATAAGTATAGATTCTATACATATATAACGTGGGGGGAGGGGGGGCTGTGTCTCCTTTAAGCGAGCCCTTGTCCTTTCGCTAAATTCGCGCCGTGCACATGTACGTATACAGATAAATTCATACATATATATATAATCCGTAGTGTATATTTTAATCTCGTCACCTTAAAAATATATTATTGTCTTTCGATGAAAACGTAGCACTTGACAACTCGCTCTTCTCGCTCTTCCTTCCCCGCGTTCTTCGTCCATCATCGGGCCGATGATGATCGATCGGCGTGAGACCAAACTTCGCGCGAGAAGATCGATACAACATTCTTGCTACTTTCTTCTTACACATGATAAACAAACGATGATGATGTCGCGGAGTGATGAGCGAATGTACACGTCGTCGCTACGATTGAATACTTCTTTTCCCTTATCTCTTACCTACTGTGGATGGCCCTGTGAGAAAAGCAGTACCCGTTTTTCAAGTTTTTTGCGATAGATTCTAATCTCAATGTTCACGTATTCTTCTTTTTTTTTTTTCACACCGCAATATCGGTCTGACCCCGTCGCGCGTTGATTCGGCAGAGCGCAACTCGTTTTCTCTCAAGGAGACATTATCGCGTGTTAAAGTGGAAGGTTATTGGTTCCTGGTTTTCTCTAGTTTTATCAGAATTTGAAACTTTTTCCAGAGAGAGAAAGAAAGAGGATTACGGCGATTGTATCAGTTGAACCGTCATTATTTTAATGTTCAAGACTCCGCGTCTTCCATTTCAAGAAGATTTCGTTTTCCCAGAAATATCTCGAGTTACACGTACCCCGAAGGATGAAAGTTCTGAAGTCTTGTGATGTAATTCTGGTTCCGTTGCAACAATCACCTTACAAGAGAATATATATATATATTTGTATATATATATATATATATCAGACTTTACTGCGAAGTTTCTGATTTCCATTTGCATTTCTTGTGTGAGAGTTTCCGTCCTTTCACGAACGTGATCTCTCTCACGAGATAGGATTTTGCTTCTCTCTCCAAAACGCGTCGTATCGAAGGATCGATGTTGATGCACACGGACGAGAAGGGTTCGTCTTGGTACAACTTTGGCAGGAATCAACACGTTGCCGGTGGATCGAACTTTACTTACGATATCTCGCGTCGACGGTCGTCGATCTTCATCGCGCACCGTAAGTTTAATCTATTAAACACGCTAGGAACAGCAAAGACACTTATCAAGAGTTTTTTCCTGGCGCGGGAGGGGGTTGACGATCGTCGGATTTTCGTTGTCGGCGTTTAGGCGATCGCCGATCTTCCTGCGCGCTGAAAGGAATCGCGTTCGGATCGCGCACGTTAACTCGTCGTCGTTGACGACGACGGCGGCGTCGTCAGGTCGTCGTCGATGGGGTTCTTCTCGGATGTCGACGTCGCGGTGATGACGATCGTCGGACTCGGGGTTCGTTATCATACGTCGTTGTCGTGGCAGAATTCGATTCTTCGTCTGGCCAACTGCAATCGCCGCTTGTCGACGATAAAGTCCGTCACGCAGCCCTTGATGCCGCGATGACCGGGCTTGCCGCCGACGAAGAGCTTGCCGTTGGTCGTCAGCAACGTTGTTTCCGTCGCAACTTTCTCAGGCGTGTGCTCGTCAACCTGCACTATGCAAGCTTTTCGTCGTCGGAACGCTCGGATGTGATGGAAGACTCCATCGTCGATCCTCTCCTGGAATTACGTCAATAAACATTTAACTTTTTCTTTGCGAAGAAAGAAATTGTTTGTTAATACATGTCGTGTGTTTACCTTGCTCTTTACGACTACATTTTCGGTCTTGCTCTTGTAAGTGAGCAACACGTGACCGCCGTGAAGAGACAAAATGAGATGTTCCAGCTTTCCTCTTCCCACCCACGCGATGAGGCCGTCAGGATGTACCGTTCTCAGTCGCAACTCGAACTTGTTCGACTGCTGTCCCCTGCGTCTGAGAACGAACACGCACGATCGTCACGATTATACATAAAAAACAAACAAAGTTCGAAAAAACACTATCATGCCAACAAAAATAATACACTACGGTCTACAAATACAAAGAGTTCTCTACTGTGAGATACACGCTCAGAGAGTTCGAAATAAAAGAAAAAAGAAAAGGTGAACTTTGTAAAGTCTTATGCGAACAATTTTGCAATAATTAATTTTTGTTCCAAACTTTATGTAATCGATCAAAAAAATAGAAAGAAATAGGATTACGTAATGCCGTTAAAAGAACACCCTCTCTTAAAGTGTCATTTTGCAGCAATTATCGTTAATAATGATTATCGTATAATAAAATGCTCGTCTAATTGTATCTTCAACTAACGAAAGGAAACGTTACGTAATCTACGTCAATTAGGTTTATTGCGCAATCACAAACGTTTTGGAAGGGGAGTTTCACGATTAAGGGGGGTGATTGCTAAGGGGTGTGATTTGTCATACGATGCACAAAAAAAAAAAAAAAAATCTATCCCTCAAACGAGTACAGCCATTTTGTCCACTGGAAAACTTACTCCGTGTAATCGTAATTGTCGTACTCGTAGTCGACGTCCTCCTCCAAGTCGTAGTCGGAGTAGGACTCCTCAGAGTACTCGCCGAGGGTAGTGTTAGTCGAGTTAGTACTAGTTGGTGGTTACACAATCAGAAGGTTAGTGACACATTAGTCGTTAAATCAGGAGCGCTAATTAATCTACTGTTTCTTTCTCTCGCTAATGCCGATCGACCGATTACTCTCTAATTTCAAATGCACCTAAATCGAACATCCTAAAGGACGTGCCGTTTTGCGATCTAATGTTTCGGTCGTTGATCTTTTTCGGGATTTCGTTCGAACGGAGTGTTGTGTGTACACATCACTCACCTTCTTCCGGCACGATGTTTGAACTGCAGGAAATTGTCGCCCTCGAAACGCACCGGTCGCTCCGATATTTCGGTGCCGGACACGTCGTAACCCATAACTGTAAAAAAAAAAAAACGAAAGCAAAATTATTCAGCTGAGAGTTAAGATTTTGTTGTTTATTTAAAAAAGATAACGGAAATTCACTCACAGAATTCGCAATGCAGACCGTTGTAACCGGTGGCACACTTGCAGAGATAACTGTTCAGAAGTGGGAGACAGACTCCGCCGTTGTGACAAGGATTTTCGTTGCTAGGACACGGCAGACCGTCGTAAATGTCCGTGTTGTGCTGAGTGACGTTTACCGCGAGATTCTGATACGTTTTACCGTTCACCATCAGTCTCTGCACGGCGCCCACCAGTCCGGTCCAGGCTCCGGACAAACGATGAACTTCTCGCCAGTGTCTAAAAAAGATCAAGTGATTGTAAAGATATCGCGCAAAATTTTTTTCGACAAAAAATTTATTTATTCGAAGTAATAAAAAACTATTGTGACAGCTGGTGTAGCTCGGCGCTGACGCTTACTTGACGCCACCGACGTAGAGTGGCATTTCCAGATTCAATTCCGTGAGAGGACTTCCGGACAATCCTCTGGCGACGGTCCCGTCGTCAAGCTGAAGAACTCCCTCTCTTCCGAGTCTGCTGATCCTCACGCAGTGCCAAGTGTCCCGAGTGACCGGATCCGGCGACGTGATGTTCGCGATGCCGCTCCCGAGATTAAATCTGAATTCCAACCTGTTGTGAACCAGATTCAGACTGATGAAGTCGCCCCGGCCGTTATTCAACTGGCCGTTGTACAGCAGGAGACCGTCGCTCGCGTGCGTCAGGAACCACAATTCGATGGAGAACGCCTTCGCTACGCCCTCCAGACAGGGCAGTTCCAGATATCCGTTGCCGTTCATCTCGGGAATCAGCAGTTCCGTCAGCTCGTCGTCCACTGAAAACAATAGACGACATTGACGTAAATTATCGGTTTAACACATCGTTGTAATAAAAAAAAGTGACTGTATAATTTTTTTGTAATTTCCTGTGAGAATTTTTGAAGCGACCACTCACGAATTTCGCAGTGCTCGCCGGTTCGGCCGGGAGGACACTTGCACACGTATCCTCCCTGCGGCAGAATGTCGCAGGTGGCTCCGTGCTGGCAGGGCTCGCCGATGCAAGGATCGAGCGACTCCTCGCAGTTTCGGCCGGTGAACTGCGGCGGACATATGCATCTGTAGTCCGGCGGCTCGTACTTCTCCACCGCGTAATTGTCGTGATCGTAATTGTTCTCGTACTGAAGCTCGTAATCGTAGTCGCACTTTTCGGTGGCGCAGCGTTTCTTCGCGTTCTTCTTCGTCCTCTTCTGATCGACCGCCGTGCAGTGATTGCCCTTGCATTTGACGATGTTCACACCCTTGCCGCCACCGTTACCGCGATTGTTTCTGTTCTTGCCTCTCTTCTGCAGTCTTCTGCACTCGCGGCCGTTGCACAGGTCCTCCTCGAAGATCGGCTGACACGTCGCGCCGTTTTGGCACGGCAGATTGGCGCACGCGTTGTCGCCGCACTCCTTCACGCGGTAACTCTCGAGAACGTCCTTGTCGTGACCGACGTGGAGATCGACGCTGATCCGGTTTATCTTCAGCTTGCGAATGCAACCGAGGAACCCGTGACTGGTGCCGATATTGTCGTACACTCTGTGAAACAATTCGAAATATTCTTTTTTTTTAAAAGTGTTCAAAGTGGCAACCGCTCTCTTTTGTTAACGATTTTGAATATAATATTACTTGGTGTAATTGGTCGGTATGTTTCCGATAAAAGTGTCCTGATTCAAGTCCAAGGACTTTAACATCCCTTGACTCTGACCGGCGACGTCCTCGCCATCGTTGAAGATCAGAACTCCGTCCTTGTGGTACCGCTTAGCCGCCGCTCTGTGAAAAGTCTTCATGGTTACTCGTTCGGACGACGCGAGTATCACAGGCCCGTTTCCCAAGTTGTATCTGAATTGCACGTATCTAAAAAACAAACACACACACACACACATTTACGGATTCTCTCGTTTAAAGAGCGAGCGAGCACGTAATTATCCAATCGGCCGCGAAGTTGAATTATGCAAGTCAAAAGAATATTACATTGCGGCAATGTAATATTCGCAAGCCTTCAAAGAGCATATTTTTGCGAGTAGAGACGAGAGAGAGAAAGATTATCGTGACAAAAGATGACAACTACTAACCCGTCGACAATGGCCAGCGAGACAAAGTCGCCGGTCCCGTCGCTTTTCTGCTGATTGTACAATATGATTCCGTTGTCCGCGTACGTTTTGAACTCGACTTCGATGCTGAATTTATGATACGCTTTCAGCCGGCTCATCCTGACGTAGCTTTTGCCGTCAAAGGATGGTATCTCGTAATCCCGCTTGTTGATCTCCTCGTCGCACAGCAGCCCGGTGTAATTTGGCCGGCAGATACAGACGAAAGTTGCGCTGGGTAAGTCGATGCACGTCGAGGTCATGTGACACGGATACGAGAGGCACGCGCGAAACTCCTCCGTCGGCGTCACAGGCACGTAATTGGCTGACGGGAGAAGACGAGAGAAAACGAGGTTTAAACGAAAGTTAATTGTCTAACAGTTAGAAACAACGTGACGATTCAACAAATAAGGTTCGAGTTCTCCGCGAGTTGAAGAAGTTAAGAAAATCATTGCCGAGAATCAAGTTGTACGACAATATCGTCGAAATGGTAAACTTCTAATTAAGACAACTAATTAATTTTTTAAAGACACGCCGGTAAAATATTTTGTTTGAAAATAGTTAAGTATTTAAAAAAAAAATCAACTTTTATTATTTTTATTATTTTTAATAAACTGCGCGAATAATCAAGACACATCCATATCTTACCAAAACACTCTTGCCGATCGCTAGTCTCTGCGTAGCCGTCGGAACAGACGCAGCCTCCGTTCGAACACTCGCTGTTGGGTATCGTGCAATCTTTGTCGTCGGTACAAAGATCACCTAGAAGAGCAGTGACCACTCGAATCGTTGCCGGCGTCGGTCGATACGATGTGGCCACTCCTACAAAGGGGTAGCGCCAATTTTGTGTAAATAAATAAACAATTTCTGTAATGTATTTTCGAGCATTAATATGTCACACGTTTCAAATGCCAACATGCGATTCTAAAGCATTAAATATTTTGATGTTAATCCACTGTTGGCCGTAAATCTATAATACGGTTAATAAAGCACACACGACATTAAATTATAAATTCATTGTTAATTATCAATTACTTCCGCTACATCAATTCGGGCGGTTAATCCCGCAGTTCGAAATGTTGTAAAGAAATTTTACGGTATTTTTTTTTTACATAAAGTACACGTTTTCGAGAGAAACTTATTTAAAACTCGGTTTCTTTTTACAATTTTTTTTTGTTTACTTCTTATGAAAATGTACTTCGTTTGAAGAAAGGGCTGACCTCTATGAAAGAAGAGACATTTTTGTTTTTTTACCATGCTTTAAGTTATCTCGGTCGATCGTGATGGTCTCTTGATGAGCACGATGGGTGTAATAATATCGTGGATCAGCTTCCGGTACCAAGAGGTGCCGCGTAGATTTGGACAACGGAGAAATGGCGGCTGCTGGTTGAGTATATTGCACGGCTGTGTATCTTTTTACGGGGAAGTCCGTGTTAACCAAGGAGTCGTCTGAAAATGCGGTTTGCGTGTGTTTTCCAATTTTGCCACTTTAGGTTTCCTCGCCCGCCTCCGTCATCATCGACAAACGTTTTCAGAGCTTGCAATCGGAAATATTTATTGCAAAAATTGTCTTTAGTTTTTTTTTTTTTTTTAAGTGAAATTTAGAATTTCTGGAGACTACAAATATATAAAATATTGTAGTGATGTAAAAGTGACGTACATGTAATCTCGCTCTTTTGAAAAAAAAAAAGTTGATCACAAACTCTGAGTTTAATTGTATATATTCAATCAGCTTTCTACAAGGATAATGATGTTGACCACGCGAAACACAACATTATTAGCCGAACAGGATTCGCCTTTTGTCTCTGGCATTGTATATGTGTGCGCGACACGTGTGATGAGACTTTCATTATAAAATTATTAATTTTCTCTCATTAAAAGTTATAACGACGGTGACGCGCTTTATATACGTGATTGTGAAATCGTAATAGAGAAAGGTCCGGCTCTGTTTGAATTTCTGTTAATTAATTTTAAAATTAATTTCTTCTTCCGAGAGAGTCACTCCCGTAGAAATAATCGTTTTCAACTATCTCGTTTTTTTATTTCGGGACAGATTGAAGTATGTACATATATCATCGTTTGAAAATAACTTCTCTATACGTATAAAACGAGCTGAACGCGAGTAATTATTTATTTTAATAAATTAAAAATTAAATTTCATTGAAATACAATATGTAATACTTTTTATAAAAATAACAGCATTTCGAGAGAAAGAGAGAGAGCAGAATTTACGATTTTATTTTATTTTGCCTTCAAAAAATTTTATAATAAAAAAAATGAATGAAAACGATCAGAAGTCACGATTGAAGCTTCTATTCCAAAAATGAACATCGAAAAAGTCTGTAAAAAACGTGACCGCCTTACAAACTCTTTTCCCGCTAATCTCCCGCTCACTGCTTTATCTTTTCCTTCTTCCCTGCTCTCATTTCCATGCGTGATTAGCCTTAAGAAATACCAAGATGAATATAAATAAGCGCGCAAATCTCCCTTCTCTTTTTTTTGTAACTTTAATCCGCGAGAGATCTTCGTTTTTTTTTTTTTTTTTTTTGCACAGAAGGTAGAACCTTTCAGAAAAATTTTTGCGGAAGCTTATAAATTAAATTAGTTTGACGAGAAAGTTGTGCTGGCGCGAAGAATAATCCGGTTTAATCGACGCGCAAAGCACTAAAATGTATGACATAATATTGTTTACAAGTGATTGGCTTTTTAAGTTTAATCTTCGCGTCGTGAATTTTTTAAATCCGACGCTCTTACAAATTAGATGAAAACATACTACCATGTACAGTTACGCGAAAGTTTTATTTGACAGCAGAGAGAAGCTTAATCCCGATGTATCTAATAAATTATCTTCCTTCTCCTATTTTGTTTTTATTATTTTATTATTTCTGTTTGTAGAAGGGAGAGTTTGTAGACAAAGAGAAAGGGAGAAAGAGAGAAAGAGAATTTGTGTCTCGTCCCACAGCGTTTTAACGTCCAGAGAGGAGACGCAACACAACGGACGTCGACAGCGACCGCGTCGGAGTTCCTCTAAATAATGAAAATCGAAAAGCTAATTCTATCGACTCGAAGTTACGCAAAACTGTTAACAGGAGTCGGAACGGTCTTAATGGGATTTTAATTACTTTCCAATTGCCGCGTTGCTTCCTATTATTGCTCGTCGAGGACTTTCGCTATTATTTTTTTTTCTCGACGATCGGTCGCCACGCTACCGTTTTCTCTTCTCTCTCTCTCTCTCTCCCTTTGCTGACAAACTGTCTCTCTCCTTTTCTCCCTTTTTCCGCGTCGTTCACCCTTCCTCTCGCGTTCAACAACTCTCGCTTATTTGTCTTCGTATAATCGATTCGTTTATTTACTTCCTGCGAGAACGAGCTTTTCTCGCTACTGTGTTGCTCTACTGCAAATACCCCCAGCTTTTTACCCCCTTCCAGAACGGGCCACGGTCCATTTGAGGAATGAAGATCCCGAACAGGCTGCGAGAAACGGCCGGAAAGAGAGCGCGGAAATACGATCCGACGTTTCAGAACGGGCGAATCTCTTTCTGTTTCCTGCTGACGGGTAGTTTTATCAACTACAAACTCCTCGTGTTTACCTTTATCGATACGCGGCTTCGTTAAAAGAGACGCGCCTTGTCCAATGTGGAACAAGGTGATCGACTGATTTTTTACACGAAATCAATTAACGAACTGTTTATTAATATTTTTCAACAAGAACAATTTATCAATATATATTGATGCTATTTCTACGTTGTGTAAAAAACTGTCTGTGTTTCTTGCGCAGTTTGCGTTCAAGACGTCTCTCTGACGTCTGGACCACACGAAACGTCAGAGTCGGATCTTCTCTCTCGGCTCGACCTTTATTCCGGTTACGCGAGTTCGATGTCTCTCCCGCGCTCGATGAGCGACTCAAACTCATTATAAACTTGCGCTCGTGTCAAAGACGTCACGCGCTGCAGGACGTTCTCTCATCGGCCGATTGATCGTTTCCCGCCGGTGAGAATATCCCCGCGCTTTTTCCCGCCCGCCGGGAAATCGAGGAAGCCGGCCGTCGCGAGAAATTACGACATGCATTATTTACGCGATCCAAAGTGCCCGGCGTCCATATCGTTTTCTTCTTTTCTCCCGACTTTCCGACGCCGTTACCGTCTTTTACTCCGATCGTCGACGTGTGGCGACGTGTGTGCGAGCGAAAAGAGGACGAAGAGAGGGGGAGAGTCTCTGAAGGAAGGAGAGGGTTCTTCCGCGCGACGCAGAGCGAAGGTGGGATAAAGAGAAGACGAGATAAAAGACGAATCGAAGGCGAGAAAGGGAACGAGCGAGTCCGCGCGAGGACGGCGTAATCTGATTTATGTTTGACTCCGGAGGACGAGCCCCCGAAGAGAAGAACTTTTTAAGAGATTGACTTCCAGCGAGCGAGTCAGACGTGGGACCGGGGGGGGGGGGCTGAAACCGGGGTGCAAGGAGGAGGAAAGAGGGCTAAGCAATCGAAAAATAGGGTTGGGGGCGAGCGGGAGTGACTTTAATAGATTCCGACGTTTCGCTCCGCGAACTTCGTCAGGGGTTCGGCAGATCTTGAGAGGGTGTGAGGGTAAAGAAAGTACGTGAAGAAGAGAAAGGGGTTTGAGGTGGAGAATCTTCTCCTCCACCGCGGTGCACTTTTTGCACAGATTTATTGTGCAAAAAACCGGTGCGCTCCGCGGACTAGATTCGCCTCGGATTGATTGACTCGGCATCCGAATTCAATGCTCGTTGATAATCAACGGTTCTCTCGCGAAATTAGATCGCTCCCGTCTTCGGTTTGCTCGCAACTAATTGGGAAAACTGCAACGTTAATGACGCCTTTACTTATACATCTACGTTCGCTTCGGATATCTCTTTCTCTTATTCTCTTTGTAAGAGAAAGATCGATCACGTGGTGGAGACGGATATCGACGTAACCGCGCGAGAAAACTTCCTCGATCGTCGTTGTCGACGTCGTCGTCGTCGTCGTCGTCGTCGTCGTGCCGCGACTTGGAAATAAAGAATGAAACAAACAGGAAAACAAGCGTTCTCCGTCGAGAAGGAAATGCAACATTCGATTTTCTTTCGGGTCACAGAACGTCATCGTGTGTTACACATCTTCGGGGCGATAGATAGATTTTTCTGTTTTTTTTTCGCGCATTTTCGTCACGAGTTTAAACGTATATCGCAGTTTATCCACAAAAAAAAAAGAAAAAAAAAACTACAACATTTTTTATCTCAAGATTTTTTTCTCTTTACGGGAATATCTTTCGATGGAGATTTTTATCTTCAACGCGCGCGTGGCACACGCGCATCTCTTGTCTGTTTTTTCATCAAAAAAAAAAAAAAAAAAACGAGCAGAAGTTGTAAGGTAAAAAGTATTTCGTGTTTAGGTCAAAACGCCGTCGGCGATCGATGCGTGAGATTTTGTCAGAAGAAAGTTCGTAGGTGGATCTTCTTTTGCGGAACGAGAGTTATTGCCGAGTCACACGGGTTTAAATGCTTGCGGCTGGACCGGCTGGATGTCGCCCAGTTTCTCGTGTGGATGTCCGGGGTTCTTCTCTGGACACGTCCCACGGGCGCCACTTAAGACGAGATCACGTCGGGGGTGGAGGAAAAGGAGGAGGTCCGCGTGGTGATTTAGTTAAAACCACCTTCGGCGTTCGCTCAGTTTCGCGAGTTAACGTTTGCCAACTTTCTTTACGTGCGAACGCGGCGGCCGGATCAACCTCCGGGGGATGCTTTAATGCGAGCTTTCTCTAAGCTAGTAGTTGCGCATCTACATTTTCCGCCTCCGTACCTTTTCTCACGAAAATAATCTTGATAAATCATCGCGCGCGGTTTTGGAGGCTACGAATTTTGAAAATATAAAGAAAACAAGTATAACACAAGCATGTAAACATAAATTGATTAATTACCAAAATAAAGAAAATTTTACATCGCTACACGCGTGTGTGCGCGCGCGCGTGCGTTATATAAAAGTAACGTTTTACTCTCTGTGTTATTTGAACCGAATTTTTTATTTTATTCTTTTTAGAATTTTTTAGACCGATTGTTTCTCTTCTTTGATCTCTCGGTTGAAAAAAGCAATATCGAGATGATGTAATATTGAAAAAAAATTATCACACGCGAATTGAAGCAAATAAAGTGTCTTAAATTCGAGTTCGCTTACTCACTTTGCTTTCTTTCCTCCCTGAATTTAGCTTACGAGCGAATTGATTTCACTTATGTTTGCGTATTAATTAAACACACAAATGTGTTACTCAATGGTGTGTGGAAATAAGAAGATAAACGAGCGGTTGATTAAGAAAGCAAGCAAAGTAGTAATTCCAGTGATTTGCGGGTGGTGGTGCGGGGGATTACAAACATACGTACATACATTTATGTAATAGGAACTTGATAAGTTTATTATCACGTTTGAATACAAAGTAAGCTAATTAGCGTTTTTTTTTTAACGGTTAGTTCTTCTAGGACAAGCTGGGCGTTTTTTGGTTTTTATATAATCGGATTTTTCTTCGCGCGGAAAGAATTTCATACGTTTGACAAAGAAATAACGTCTTCTACCTGCTCTCAATTGTCGCTTCAAATCAACAACTTCCTCTTCGAACAACGAATAAATTTTTTTACAAACCGATGCCGTGTAGAGCGTTCGACTGCTGCAGTTATTAGGCCACGATCCTTGCGAAGGATCTCAATTTTTCAACAACAATTTATTTACATCTGTCTATCGCTTTTTATATAGTATCTTCCGTATCGTACAAGTTTTACACTGTCTCTTCACAGAACGTTTGTGTGTCTTCTTTTTAGAAAAACAAAAAAATCAACGTCTCAGCTCGGATTCTATACCGATCAAGATCGAAAACTCGCGCGTATATTGAAATCACGTACACGTCAAATCGAGATTGTTGATCAGAGCTCTCTCCTTGCAAATCTCGCCATTCTATCGCTGATACAGAAATATTCCTATCTTATTTCACATATCTTTTATTTTCCTACACAATTTCGTCCTATCCTATCCGACGTGTTTTTTTTTTGTTCGTCGTTCTTCGCTAAAACAATCAAGGCGTATACTGCTCGACTATATGTAACTTGCAAATATATATATATATATATATATGTATATATTATATATATCGAACGAGAGCAACTTCGCCTATCTACGATTACACTACGCTCGCCGCGTGTTTCGTCGCCGCGGCTTTTTCTGTCTAGAAGATGTAGAATTCAAATACTCTCTCGCGCGTCGTCCTCAGAGACGTGATCGCGGAGTGCAATTAAAGGGTCGTTGGTGCGTTTTTTCTCAGTAGTGCAGGACGTAAAGCGACCTGTTCGGCGGTGTACGCTCAGTGAACCCACCTCTGCAGTGGCCGAAGGCCTGCGTGACCACGTCGGCCTGGTGGTGGCAGGCGTACATCTTTAGCTCGCACTCGTTGTCGTAGGTCTGCCCGTCGCTGCCGCACACCGGCACGGGCGGCTCGTCCTTCGGGCAGGAGTGCTCGCAGACGCAGTGCGCGCCGCCGATCTCCGAGCACTGACCGCCCGAGTAGCATTCCAACTCGTTGCAGGTGGTCGCTATGGGCGGTATCGTGTCGGCTGCGGGGGGGAGGCAAAACGGATTAGGGCGACGTTAATAAAGTTACGGCCTCGTCCTCTCGAGGCGACGACGTGACCCGGTCGGTCGCGACACTCAGTTATCCGCACGAGGTGTCCGAACACGTAAAAGATTATTCCCGACATTGCGTAACCGCGAAAAGTAAATTGGTGTTTCGATGCAAAATATCGAATTATAAATATAAGAATTTGCGGGACTCAAAAACATGTGTCGAACGAGAAATATTTTGAAGATATGTCACAATTATTCATTCTTTTTTTCACTTTGTCGCAATTAAGGAAATATAATTGATGTTTTAATAATTGTGTATAACAGAGATGATTATATAGAGAATTATATTTTATTGCGTGATACCTGAGTAACATCCGGAAGGTGTGAGTATCTTGTTGTGATCGTTGCAGATCGTGCATTTCTGTCCCTGGATGTCGGGCTTGCAGACGCAACGGCCTGTCATCTGCTCGCAATCCTCCCTGACGGAACCGAATAGCGAGCAGCCGCAAGCTGTGTTTCAGAGAGAGAGAGACATAACGAGGAAAATTCGTATTAATTTCAAACGTAATAAATAATCACAATCGTCGTTTACATCGTCGCGCGTAATTATCGAGCGAGCGACATTTCTTCGTGATGAAGAAATATCTAATCAATCATCCAAATTCAATGTATGTAATTTTTCATGTCACAAATAATTATGTGTCAGTAATTAATTACGATTACGTATTTCCTCTCATTTAACTAATTAAAGCGAGGGAAAATTAAATCACATTAATGAAGGTACGTTCAATACGCGGTGTAAAATATCGTGTCGTCTGTTCGCGCGCATAAAAAAAATAATGATGAGAGATTTGTATCGAACGATCGCGCGAGGCGATCGATTTCGAAATTGCTTACGTATGCATCCCGGATGACCCTCGCTTATCTTCGGCAGCCCCCAGTAACCCGGCAAGCATCTATCGCACTTGGGACCGCCTACACCTGGCTTGCACTCGCATTCACCGGTTTCCGGGTTGCAGGTGTCGGACACGCTACCGAGCCTGTTACAATTACACAAACTCGGGCAGCCAGCACCGTCCGGGCCGAGGGCGGCGGTTTTTCCGTCCGGACAACAACCGTGCCATGAATCCGCGCATTTCACCACCTGGATTCCGTGAACTGAAAAGGCACGCAACCATCACCACGTCGCGAAAACTAAGCGCGATGGTAATGCACGCGGATCTTCCGTCGTAAAAATCCGCTTTGCAAGAATTTTTGAATTCTTTTGTTAAAAAATTGTGTAATCGCATATATAATTTGTTTATTTTATTTATAAATATATTAATTATATCTACACGTAAATAGATTCGAGTTTGGTCTGCTCGCTAACCTTTCTTGCAGCAACGAGCGAATCGTGTGGTTTGATGGCAGTAACTATTGGTTGGGCAGTCTCTGCGTTCCGGTCCGCTACCGCAGTCGTACTCCTTGCCCTCGGAATCCACCAACGGTGGGTCGCCGTTGCAGGGTTTGACCTCCATACCTGCGCGAACGCAAATTGATTGCACATAAAACAATAACTGGTCGATTATAATCAATTCTGTCATTTAACAATTATATCTTTTGTAATAAACTGATAATTATTACAATAATCAATCAAAATAGATAATTATTGCACACACGATACATATTGCATCAGATCTATTTCAACTTGTGTTCGGAGAGATGAACTATTTATTTACATGTTTGTTAGTAAAAAGCGCAATAAAAGCGTGTTAAAAAAGAAAAAAACAATTATCCGGTAACACAAAAGGTCTCTCCCGAAGGCAAGTTGTTCCGTCTGTTTGTCGTCTGTTCGTCGACGTCTCCCAACCTTGGCAGAGATCGAGTGGCCTCAGCCTGAGCTCCTGCTGTCGCTGACAGGCTTCCATCTTCATGGCGCAGAGAGAGGAATAGATTCTGAGGTCGCTGCCGCACACAGGCTTCATCTTCTCCGGCGAGATGGAGGCGCAATCGAATCTGCAGCTGCACCTGGGATACTTGTCCGGGCCTAGTTCGCAGGTCGCCTCGAAGTCGCAGTGAATGTCCTTGCAGGCCTCGCGCTCCTGCGTGCTGGTCACGTCCGCGATTGTAGTGGCCACGCGAGTTATCGCGGGCGTCGACTTGGTCGCTGTTATGGAATTGGTTAAAGCGCGGCGGTTAGAGGCGAGTTTATCGCGCGAGTACGCGCTTCTATTAGTGCGGGTTGCTAGCAGCCGAATTGTTAATGGCATGCGGTTAACGCGCGCGTCTTTCGCAAAGCGTTCTCCGGAACAAGCGTCTCGCTCGCTAATTGCGACAGTTACGCTCAATTATTTTCAATTAAGCTGAGGCGCCTTGTTACACAGAGAACAGCAATTTCCAAAAGCCCACACAGAGTATGTGGAAACGTCTCTCAAGGAAACTCGCCGTGCGTTCCGCGCACTTTCATGAGTCAAAGGTGTTTGCGGATTGCCTCCGCGTCAAACACATACTTTGCGAGTTAATAATTGTGTTATCGCTCAAATGTTTTTTGTTTTAAACGTTCAAACAAGAAGAGAGAGAGAGAGAGAGAGAAAAAAAAAGAAAGAAAGAAGATTCGCGCGCGACGAGGGAGATGAGCATGTATAATTTTAAGAAACACATACTTAACGCCGCCACGGGAAATCTCTCCTCGCAGTCACCGTAAAATATGACGTGCAAAAGCGCCAACTTGGAATCTTTGTCGCAAGATGCTCGCTGCATCTCGCACTCGGATGGATAAGTTTTCCCGTCGCTGGCGCAAACGGGTTCGCCACTGGCTTCCGGACAGGCTTCCGGACACACGCATTCACCCGCCACACAACGCGCGCCGTACTTGCACTCCATCCCTTCGCACAGTTCTGGAAAAAAAAAAAGAAAAACGTTCACAATTTCTCTTCCTCAGCTGAAAAGTACTTTATTATTTTTTTAACATTATTTTCCTTTTCTCTCGCTCTTCCGTTGTTTTTCTTGTTTTTTTTTTTTTTTTTGCAAGAAGATAATATTCCATTTAAAATACAGAAATTGTTAGAGGAAGAGACGACTTCTTATTTTTAGAATTTCGCTTTTAGAGTATTCGTTTCAGAGCTCAACGCATGAGCTCATCGCATTAAATCCTCGCTCGCAAGGCACATTGGCGTATATGTATATGTTACTTACTGCAGTCATCCTCGTAGCTAATGGTGATGAGAGTCTGGTTCACGCACGAAGCCCTTTTCAGGGCGCACTCGCTATCGTACGTCACCCCATCAGATCCGCAAACCTTTTTCACTTCCGTTGAGTCTTTCACCTGTGCACAAATGTGTAAGGGCGCGCTCAATTTTAATAATTGACGATAATTAGACATTATATTAATTATTTTTCTATTTGTTCGTTCATTTTCTGTTCATACGTAAGATATTTTTTTGTCGGAAATCCGATCGTGAGAAAACAAAATACAAAACAACGTGCGTAATGAATTTATAAATAAAAGTCAGAAATACAAAAATAATAAAAAAGACAGACAGAGAGAGAAAGAGAGAGAGTGAGAGTAGAAGAAAAAAATAGAGTAAGAGAGAAATGTCCTGCGTGTCTCACTTGTTGCGCGTCACAAAGGTGCGGAAGGGGAGGGTACGTACGGCGCATTTGATGGACAGCAGCAGCGCGAGACTGGGAAATGAACGGAGAAGAAGAGGGATGAGGATGGGAGCGGTGCAATAACACAGGAAAGAGCAAAACTTAATTAGCTCGGCCGTCATATTCGCGGCTCCTCTTGTTTGCTTATTACACGCGCGTTTCATGCACTTGCCACTCTTCGCCGGCTGCTATTACTACACCCAGCCAGCTGTGTTATATATATATATATACATATATATATTTACATATACAGGGTGTTTCAATAAAAGTTGATTAATTTGCAGTTAAAGTGTATTGCTCGACAAATTTGTGGTGGGTAATTGTTTTCACTAAAAATGCAAGCTCTTTTCTAATATTAAAATCATTACAAACGTACACACCGTGTAATTAGCGCTCTTACATTGAATTAATGAACAATGAATCGAGAATTACATTTAAAACATAACTAATGAGCACAACTAATTGGCGGTGCATTATTCGACGGCGACTGTTACAGCTGTAATTGGTAATTTATGTAAGTAATTTGTATTTTCTGTCAAAATAACACGTAACACAATTATGCAAATAGAGCACACACGTATGTGTGTGTGTGCGCGCGCGCGCGAGTAGGAAAAGCCTCATTTGTGATCTAATTGGAATTTGTGGGAAACCTATCTTGCGCGAACTGCTTCGGGGTGTGGTGGAAGACGCGACGGTTATTAGTACGTACGACCGCTCAAAACACAACTGCATCCGGATGGTATGCGATGCTGCTGCTGCTGCTGCTGCTGCTGCTGCGGTGAGAGACGGTTTCTGGAAGGGGAAAGGGTGAGAGGTACGTACGTCCGCGCGATTTAGTCGGTTCCCTGTTAAGTTTAATTGACGCGTCAGTCAGCTCATTTTCTGAGGTTAATCCGCGTGTACGCGCGCTCATGTTTCATTAAGAGGATTATTGTACGCGAACGCGTCCATTGCGTTATTCTACCACGTTACAATGGTTCTGTCTTTAAATTAGGGAGTGAAACCGTCCTCGTTCAACAACGACCGCGCTATGCAAAATCGCGATCGTTACACCGGTACGGTATAAAATTGTTAAAAAATCTGGAAAAAAAAACTATTAAACATTTAATTCGAAACGCAGCTTCTTGCTGTCGCGTGAATTTTTCATGTTACAAATGGAAGGATATCGATTTATTTAAAACTTTTAGTTTACTCTCTCTCTCTCTCTCTCTCTCTCTCTGTTTTTCTGTATTATTTTACACACGAAAATTATAAATACTTAATTATCACATTATATTTTACAATATATTGAATTTTATACGATGTGTGTGACGAGGAGAATTCGAGATTGGTGTAAAATTACACCACAGAATTGTGTTGAGTGTTGCAGTTTCGAGCGAGCATTTCAATCGCTGATGTATAGAAGAGGAACAAGTTCCGAAAATTCTCGTTGAAAATCGAGAGAGAAAAAGAGAGAGTGTCTGATACTTCTCGATAAGCTCCTGTGACCGACTGACAACCGGACTTTCCGTCCCGGAAGAATACCGGCGGAAGTCGTCCGCAAGATCTTCTCGGTCGGTTCCCCGACGAAACCTGCCAACCTAATCCCTTTTCCCAACTTCTTTTCCCTGACGTTGAACGCATCCCTTATTCCTCCCCCGACGGTTCCGAATACGTATACCTTCACGGACGACCACGAAAAGACCAACGTCGAAGGAATTCGGAATTGTTCGTCGTTTCGTCAGCAGGACGTTCCGCGAATCGTGAAATCCGAGAGGAGACCACCTCCGTCCCGTATCTCCGTCCGAGATCGGCTGAATTTTCCGCGCTATCTTGATGAACCGACATGCTTCCGAATGCGCGTCGCGCGACCAGATGGGAACGGGTGAGAGGGAGGAGAAAGGGGAAAAAAACCTTCGGGAGAGAGAAACTCTAATATCCGCGCGCAACCGGATACGAAAAATTATTTATCGGAAATCGATCCGAGATAGGCAAATAAATCCGCAGAAATTGAAGCTCTACGAAAGAGAAAGAGAGAAAGAGAAACGAAAGAATAATGCATCGAGTCGCGCGCGCGCGCGTTACTGTCGTTACTGTCAAATGGTTATTGGCAGAAGTAGTGCGAGAACAGTCCACGCAGTCTCGAAAACACCGAGCGAATATAGATATAAAACCGGAAACAATTCACTTTGATTTTGTTGTTGCTGTTTGCGAACTTTGTGGCTCTCTTTTAGAGAGACTCTTTTACGCGAACTTTTTGCGCTTACATATTTTTCACGCGGTTAGATTTCTATCCCAGATATCGTCGGAAACAGACAAAGAAACATAATGACTCGACGTAATGCTCGTGGCATGCGACATAAAAAAAAAAAAAAAAAAAAAAAAAAACACTCGCCACACCCGCCGACAAAATCGCTGTCGCGGGACGAAATGTTAATTAACATTTATTACGAGCTCATTTTCTTTTTCCCGACTCTTCCCCCTTCCGGCTGTGACGGACGAATGTCGCGCCTTTTGAAACGGCGCGACGCGTTTTCACGCGAAATTTCCGAACGGTTCCGCAGGAAAAGCCATTGACTATTGTGACGGATGTCTAATGAAACATGAAAACGCTATTCATTCCGCGGAAGAGTGATATAATAAACGCCGACCGCGCGGAAACGCCATTGATGGGAAGTTCTGAAAATGGCACATGCAAATGCGCCACCAAACTCATCGCTCCTCTTTCCCCGCCTCTCCGCATGCAAACCCTTCTCGTTTCGCCGCTAACGAAGCGGCATCCTGGAGGCGCGTAACATCGAAAACGGTCGTCTGGCGAAAAATATCGCGGCCGGTCGAGAACGCGTAACTATTTACGGGTGCACGCGCGTATATATGAACATACATCGAAGTGGGACATTCATCATCGCGTATATATTTCACGTTAGTTACGCTAACGAGCGAGCCTTAGCGCGCTATGAACCGCCGCGAGCATATCTAAACGAGGAAAATTGCACGCAAGCGACGTCTGAAATTTTTTTTTCGGAAGAAAAAGCCGAGCGTGATGATCACGACTAATTTGTCGACACGGAATTGATACGGACAGACGCGCGTAATTATTCGCGCAATTTGTTGAAAGAAACGCAAATCGTGTAGAAAAATGTTAAAAAAAAAAAAAACATGTTTTCTTGTTGCTCAAACAACAAACGCGTGTGTGCGCGTGTGTGTTCGCTTGTAAATCCGCGTAATGCAATTACTTATATTGAGCTACTCTTTTTTTTTACGTAAAAAACGTAAAACAAGTGTGAGATTATTTTTCTAAGTATAATAATACTACCGGTAAAAATTTCGTTAATTGTATCCACTAATTTCAATTTTAAATAACACCGCGAAGCAACGCGCACGCGCGCGCTTGCATGTTCGTTCTTTCGTACATACATGAGGCAAGGTTTTTTGATTGTAACTGAAATGGGAATTAATCCGGACGTTTATTTGAGAGAATTATTCACGGCAAGTGTGCGTAAAAATATGCATAGTGATTTATCGAAACTGGGAATATAATTCGCGCGGTGCCGCGTGCGCGCGCGCGCGCAACTGTCAACCTCGGATTGAGAGCCATTTCTCTCGCGCATTCGTCTCGCATTATATTTTCGTGGACACGCAAAAATACAGACAGGCGGCGACGTTTATAAAATTTAGGTTGATCGAAATATCGCGCCATGCAAATGACAAAATTCTGAATATAATCCAAACAAACTGAACATTCGATTTAATATTATTCCGTAATGCACGTCACGTGCTCTCCCTTGACATATTTATAGCCCGCGCTATTCGTTAGTGTTGCCATTTGTAACAACGATCGATTATTGCTAGAATATGTAATATTATATTGCACGTGAAGATATGTATAGAAAAATATAGAAAAAAAGCAGCGTGGATTTTTTTTTTTTTTATAACGTACTTATTTCTTTTCTCTCTTTTTCTTTACATTATAAATATACACAATTATTGTTGTTATATAGAAACTGAAATCACGTGCATGTATTTCGGACTTACCGAATTCTTGCACTTCGGACAGACGCATTTGGCTTCCCCGCTGCTGTCGCTCTCGCACTCGCTGTAGAACTCGCACTTCTTCTTCTCGCAGCCGTCTGTGAACAGGCGATGATTTACGATTATCATCTATCTCTATATCTGTGTGAGGATTTGACACAAATTTGACTGACGTGTTCCTTCATCACTCTCTCAGACCCTTATCCCTCGAACCGACATTCCGGCGAGAAACCGCATTGACCGTATTTGCAAGTGACGGGAGCGGGAAAGAGGGAGAGAAGTAACATTAATAAAAATTCTCGCGAATATTTGCATACCGGCATCCGAGCGGAATTTTCACAGCCAGGAGGGAGAGAAAGAAGGAGAAACAGAGAGAGAGAGAGCGGCCGAGAAACAAAGGGTAAGTATCGAAATGTGAGAAGTAACCGAATCCTCCCTCTCGCCGAGAACGACGGAGGATGGGAAGATCCGCAAGGCTTGCCAGTCGCAAAGTTATCTTTAGAATTCATTGAAATCCACGGCGGATGTAAAAGAGAGAAAGTTGAAGAGAAAAATACGGGGGGGGGGGGGAAGGAGATTCCGTCCGCCTGCATTGACGTGTCGATGATGCTCGCGGCGGGAGGACAGTTTCCCGTCCTCGGTTTTCCAGCGCGGGGGGTTCGAGAATCATCGCGCGCGAAGCGTGACTGCGAACGGGGGGAAGGGGGAGGATGGAAAAGGAAGAAGGGTGGCGTAAGTGACGCGCGCGCGGCAAGGAAGTGCCATGCATATGCATCGTGCATGCCGCGGGGTAACAACTCATCACGATTTCAGCAGCCGACCGACGTCGCGAAAACGGAACGCGCACGCGAAGCCGCCAAATTCCACCGGCACGTTCCGCTCGCGACTTCTAACGCGAGTCCGCGTGGCGATGAAAATTATCGCCGCGCGTGATTTACAAGAGATCGCGTGCCACGCTCCTTGAAACTCTCTAATTTCGAGTATTTCTATTATTACCGCGAGAATATCCCCGCGGAAACATGATGTACTTTACGCTCCAATTATGGAAAAACGTTTACACACTAATGTGTGTGTTTGAATTTCTAAAATTATATACGCGTGAAAACAAAAATGAGACGAAATCAAATATCACCACAGACATTTCGCGAAGGATTTCATTCGATCGTACTGTAAAATATATATCTCGAAATTCAAAACTTTCGTGCTTCGAGTTTTCTCTTCTTTCTCTCTCTCTCTCTTTCTCTCTCTCTTATCTTTTTTCTCTCCGTTCTGTGTGATTTCGAATTCGCAGGTTGCCGCGTTCGCCCGATATTAAAAGCAATCCAATCTTTTCGGCGAGTACGTGTGTTATATGAGGAAAGTTTGGTAAACCTCCCGGCACACATCGCGTTACCACATCGCGTATCGTAGATACTCGGATACGACGCGCGTATCCACTCTCATCGCGCTCTCTCATCTCAGGGTGCACACGTCTCCCCCCTCCCCCATCTCATCAGATTTTTGTGATGGAAATTACTGTTTGTGTTTAGACTAACTTTTCGCGAGTACGAGGATTTTATATTCCCGGAGCCTTTAAGCGTCGAAGGATCCCGATCCGATGAGAAGGCGGATGGGGTTCGATGGAATCGCTCATGTTGGTACTCATCGCGGGCTTTTGATAAATCTGCCGTCTGATAGCAACGGGACGCGCTTGCCCACGTTGACAGGTGCAACTTTTTAATAAACATGCAAATCGGAAAATGTTGCAATTTATTTTTCTACACGGACTCGCGCAAGACGCGAACACGAGTTCCCGAGGCAGAAAGTTTGCAGATTGATCTTCCCAGACGCGGAGTTTGGCGATGTATTTGACGATGGCGATAAATACTTACATTTTTTATTTACATTTTTCCAAGTCGTTTTCCCCATTTACGTCGTACATTTCGATAAACTCGGAAACAATTTCACAGATTGTTTTCTCTCGACGAAATGTATTCTTACAATTATTTTAATTGTCATTTGCGCGAATTTGACTTTTATTTCGCTGTTCGCGCGCTCATCTTTAAAATATCAGTGCTATCAGTTCGAGTTTCGTTCTACGTAGTTCCTACACGTCCGGAAACTGCGCGCGACTATCAGAGATAGAGGAAATACTCGCGCGCGCGCGAGAATGTGTGCATTTGCGTTGTAAATGAAAAGTGCCAGATGTCACCAGATGCAATCGCTTCTCCTCGAGGCGAAGTTGCGCGTTTGTTTCGCCGCTGAAAAGCACTTCATTCGCGAGCGATTTCCATAAAGACGAGCGGAAGAATAAAACCAGGGGGGGGGGGAGAAGAGATGGAAAAGTGGAAATAAAGGATTCTCATCCTCAAGGTTTAATTGCGGCCGGATACCTTCGTTTTTACGTTGTTAAATCGTAGCTCTCAAGCGAAAGAACGACACAAACGGGGTATTGCAATATTTAACAGTACAATATTTGCCGTTTAAAAGCAATGCGCATCGCGAGTTTGCGCCTCGCAAATTTATCAAGTTTTTTTTTTTTTAATTTTTTCTAGGATTCTACGCGCCTCCACGATTTTAATATCTCGCTCGTCAAATATTTCAGTTTATTTTTCTTGTGTCTAATAAGTCGAAGGCGCGTGTCCGTTTTGAGGTCGTTGTGAGAATTGTGTGTTTCGACAGAAAAAAATTCAAGACAAATCGAAGGGCGGGTGAAGCGTGATATTCATCGAATTCTAAGAAAGGGCGCGCACAGGACGGAAAATTGCCGAGGAATTTCTTTCGTCCTTTTGAGACGACGACGACGACGACGACGACGACGACGACGACGGCGGCTCGTCGTTCTGGAATATCGAGAGGAGAAGGAGGGTCGGATTAATAAGAATGAAATTGCAGGGTAGGGACCAACGTCGTAAACGTAAAGTACACGGTCGATGAAATCTCCTTCACTACTTCCGTGTCTCCCTCTCTCCCGCCCTCACGCGCGGTCAGAACTGACGGAGGCCAGAGCCTCCGTTGTTGGGTAAAAGCATCGAAGAAAATAATAAAATGAAGATTAATAGCGCGAGCTCGCGTGCAGCCGCGATGATGCATCGTCCAGTGCGGTATGCATGAAGTTGTTTACGATATCGTCCGGGGGAATTCGCGCGAGTGGGAAAACCGAAGGAAAAGAAAAGCTCGAGACGCGGTATCGCTGGAAATATCTGACGTGGGCCGGAGCGTAACTTTATCAAACGCGGCGCTCTTATCGCACGTATTCTCGGAAAAAAACTATGTAAAATGCAGCGGCATAATAATAATAATAATAATTCGACCCGAAGTGTTTTATCAAACGGCGCTGCGAATCGACAACATGAGAAGTATTCAAAAGAATATTATTCTTATGAATTGCAGAAGAGATCGATTATTAGGCAAGAAGATGGTTCGCGCGCGATTTGTAATTTCCAATCAAATCGTAACTCTCGCAATCACAGTTTGCTCTTATCGGTTCGCATCGGAGGACGCGACGGAGGTAAAAGTGCGGACGGGACCGGCCGATCGATGTTTAATTCTGGGGAAACACGCGAGGCCATCGACGTTAATCAAGTTTCATGCCGCCGCGCTACTTAAGATCGTTCAGAAATCCGTTATAAATTCAATTTACTCGGGGGCCGGATATTCAAATTAGTCGTAGCAAGTTTTAAGTTACCGCCGCCGCTGTCGGCGCGGTTACGCGACCGTAAATTAACCCCCTGCTGTCCGACCACTTCGGCATATTAAAATCACAGATTTGTTCTCTTAACGCGACCGACCTCCCTGCCGCGAAATGGAAATTATTTTCCGCGCTCCGATATTAGCGACCCCCCTCCCGACAAAGGCGCATTAATGCGGAACCCCATCGGATTGGAATTCAGAATTTTGCGATATTAAAAGTATCTTTTTTTTTTTCGCATGGAGGTTTTTTTGCAGAGCTTTATTAAAAAAATTCACTAGTCAGCGATGTTTAATTTATATTTTTACGACGACGACGGGAACTGAGATCGTATATGTGAGAAAAAGTTACTGGCAGAACAAAAAATAAAATTAAAAAGCACAAACAATTTAAATACGTTCGAGTTGTACGGAAAAAGAGATAAAATAAAACACAAAATGTTGACTTGTTCCGTGTTATTAATATCAACTTCAAGGTTAATATCGTTTTCAACTCAATAACGTCAATAATGCATGACATTGTAATAGGAAGAGGATTCTAGAAGCGCATTTGCGCGGCCGCCGGAATTGTGCCGCGAATCTATTTACGGAAGTACTCACTGCACTGTCCTTGGTACAGAATGCGTATCTCCCGTCGATGTTGACACGCCTCCAGGCGAAGCTTGCACTCGTTGCCATAGCTGATGCCATCATCGCCGCACACGGGCTGAAATTCTGCCGGACAAGTCGGACACTCGCACACTGCGGTGTCACCGTTCTCCGCGCAAATTGCACCCCATTGACACACCTGCGAACCGAATAATTTGCACACACGATTGCCTTGACATATTGCCGCGCAACAAAATCTGAAAGTATTATCGCACATCTCTCTCCCATCGAGAAAGTTGATTAAACATCAATAATATCTTCACAAATTGTCAATTTGTCGACGCAAATTATGATAATTACAACCGTTAAATATAATTTTCTACAGCGTCAAAAGATAATTACGCTCTTTATCTCTGTTTTTATTGATTACTTCAATAATTAAATTAAATACACACACACATATTCTGGGGCGAGAGAAAAATATACCAAAAAACGTGACGGTAATTATAGTTTTAACGGGGAATTTCTCGACTATACATCGAGGTTCATAAAACCATTTGTGGGAGGAAACGTACGAGGAGAGAAGGAGGAGTTCGCGATACTCGAAATGTCTTTGCGAAATTTATCGAGTTCGATCTCTCTTTTCTCCCCTTCTCGCCGTTTCTTCTCGCGCCGGAATTATGTATCGACTTTCCCACGGAGATACCCGGAGCTCCGTGTCATCCAATTAGCGACAATTGCTTTCGGCGGAGGAGCTCGTCGAAAATGGTGAAGATCCTCACCGCGAGCTTTCGAATTTTGCGGGAAATCGAGAAAGAGTATCGGGAAAAGGAGAAATAGAGAGAACGAGGAGAGAGGATATTCTCTCCGTGCTCCATTGGTCTCTTGATCCCTTCCAATTTCTGCGGTGAATACATCTCGGCCATTTCCATTTCGCGTTCCACGTCGATTACAAACCTTGTTTTGTAGACCGATAGTGTGAGGAGATCCTCTAACTCTAAATCCCGCCGATTTTGAACGCGGTTTTCTTAACGAAATCTAAATATCCGAAATCAATGTTATGATATGGTATTGCAAAACAACTCTGAGATCTGTAATCGAGCTCTTTTGCTCTCTTTTACTTTGTTCGATATATCGATTACGCGACAAATACTGAGAATATTTAAGAACGTTCGATTTTTCCTCTCGTCTCTCATATTTTTCCACAATCAATAGATGAAATTTCATTGAAACATGTCACGGAACGGTATAAACCATAATGCGGCTGACGTTCGTCAAGAACCGAGACGCTCCCCGAAGAGCAATAATTTGCGGCGTTGAAACTCCGATAGAGCGCACACGGCGACTAAGTAATCTCCCTCGCGTAGCGTAAAGCAGAAGCCGCGAACGTGTTTAGGCCAGGGTTCTCTCCCGCGTACGTTTTCGGCATGTGAAACGGCTAACGTGGTCAATTGAGAGACTGACCTTCTCGGAACAAGGTCCTCGGGAGCCGCATATGCCAACGTAAGCGACCTCGATGTTGCTCTTCGTCAGACACGCCTGTCTCTTCAGCTCGCACATGGACGTGTACGTGGTCCCGCCGCGGGCGCACACGGGTCTCATCACCGGCTCGCACTCGGGACCGCACTCGCAAGTGGCGATCCCTTGCCGATTGATCGCGCACTGTTCGTAGAAGTCGCATTTCGCCGCCTCGCAGGGATTGTGACCTGCAAAATCGAGAGAAAATGCGATTTTTATTTGTAAAAATTCTTACTCCAAACGGAATGCTTGAAAAATTGCGTTCTCAAAATACAGACGGTAAAAAATACGAGATTTCCATTAATTTAATATCGAGAAAATAATTTTGTAATTTGCGATATTTTTCGAGAGCGATATGAGAAGAGAGAGTTAGCGATTATCGCATTTTTGAGATTTCAAATATTTTTTGTGCTTTTTATTTTGTGATCAATTTTAAAACAAATATTGCAATATTTTTCTGTTCATTCAATTATATTGTTTTGCTACACAGCTACGCGCGATCGAACACATCTTTTAGCGAAAGTTTTTAGCAAACGCGATCGCGCGCAATGCGCGCGGCGAAACGACTCGTGCGAGAGGCGCAATTTTCCGAATGCTTCGATGCAAATTGATATCGGATTCTCGTTTCGGGTCGTATGTGTGTATTACCGGAGCTGCAGCCGCCGTTGTAGATTTTCTTGAGCGGCAACCTCGTTCGACAGGCCTCCTGTCGCAGGTAGCACTCGTTCAGATACGTTTTCCCGTCGCTGCCGCAAACCGGCGAGAGCGCGATGTCGCATTGTTCCCTGCAGCGACAAGCCGGTTGTCTCGAGCTGTCCAGCTGACAGATTTCCGGCTCAACGCACTCGACGCTTCCGCACGGATCTGTGAAATTAATTTGCAACAAATATATTACATCGATTCGAGCAATTTATCGCATCTCGATTACGTTTTCTTTTTTTTTTTTTTTTGTCAATGTAATTTCACTTCGATGATTATTTGCGTACGAGATACGCGAGAGTTTACGCGGTAGAACCAGGATAGGAGGGTGTTAGAATAGCGATGAAGAGATGTGCTCGAGGGATGGGTTCAAATGGAGGTGGTACGCGGCTGCACCGAGATTAATCTTCGCCCTCGACCAAGGAAGGAAGTTGGATTCCGTTTCCTGTCTGCAAGCGGGTTGGGTAGATTTCGACCTTATACCGCCTGCTGACAAGGCAAGTTTCTCTCCTCTGAACGGTGTTGGTGGTGTTTCTCGGGTTTAGCTCGAGTTACAGTCCAGTGGAGCGACTAAACTCGAGCCCTTCCGACCCGATCCGGTATCGTCCGATACTCCGCCCGCGGGCGCACAGTTCGAGCCTAATCGATCTTCGAAAGTACCGCGCGCGTTACATGTATCGCAAACATACATGTACATCGAAATAGAAACCGTCATTATTTTATAATCAAATCGTTTCGTATTATAAACCTCTCGAGTGTCCTCTTCCCCCTCCCGTCTTATCTTTTCTTATATTCTTATTTTTATTTGAATGTCTCGAGATGATTAGGCGCTTATCAACGGGAAGGAGGAGAAGGGACGAAGAAAAACACTCTTCTTCGCGCCTCTTTTATACGCTTTTCGCAATTCCATCGCGCATTCAAGAGAAGAGACGCCCTCGTGTCGCGTCTATCGCCTGCATCGGATGAGATAGAGAGCGATGTCCTTTCAAGGTCTTCCCTTAATGGGATTTCTCATCCTGCTTCTTTTCTGCCTGCAGCCTTCATCGAAATACCGGCCACGATCCGAACCCTCGGAGAGAACGAGAGAAAAAGAAAGAGCGAGCGAGTGAGAGAGAAAGAGAAAACGTGCCGGGGTACGGTTACGCCGGCGCGTTAACTTCACGCGACATTACCCTGATGCGGATTTCTTTGTATTATCGGAACCGGGGGAAGGCGCGACGTGAAAACCGCCGTCTGTGCTGGAAGACCCTTTTCAGTATGGACGGCGGACTTGTGCCGTTCCACGATCGGGAATCTCGCGTGGAACGCGCGCGCATCAGACACGGCAATGCGACGCGATATTACGCGAGTGACTGATGAAATTCTTGTATTTACTCGCGGATTTGATTCGGAAAGACGCAAATATAATTGTTTACGCGCGCGATACAAAAAATATTAAAATTATGAAGATACGAAACAGCAAAATGACGCTTGTGATTAAAAATTATTATTTAACAGATACTCCTCTCTATCTCTCCCGAGTTATTGGTACTTACCTCGAGGTGATTTTCGCGGATAGCGAAAACGCCTCTGAGGCAACCGACTTACGTACACACGAGACGCGAGATAGTGCATCCTAGTTACTTCCGCCAAAGCAACTGCAAATATCGATCCCTTTTAGTCGCCTTCCTTTCACGTGCAGATACCGGCGCGCATACCTTCCCTCGCATTCTACGAGTACTGCAAACGGGGGAGAATATCTCAAAATCGTTCTCGGTAAAAGCTCTTGTAAATTGCCCGTCGCCTTCGCCCGCGGACGGAACGAGTCAACACAGCACCCATCTCGCTCTCGTAACTTCACAATTTACCGACTTGGATTCTATCTTACTAGTCAAAACTATGTGAAAAATCAAGTGAAATCAATAAATATTGGTAGTTTTTAATATAAACGTATGAAAAAATTTATTATATGTATGAAAAATATATGAAAAAAGTTATTCGCGCACACACACTGTCGGAGAGAGATCACTTTTTACAACAAAGTTGCTCAAAAGACTTTTCATCATGACCTTCATATAACTTTTCCGCTCTCGTATCTCTCAACCGTGCCGCAAAAAGCGTGACTTTTCGCCTGTCACTCGGGAACTGTGGGAATATGACGAGGTTGTTCGATATATTACACAGGTTGTACAAAGGTTGTATAAAGGTATTATATCTGGAGAGCAATGACTTGGTTTATGTTAACAGCATCTACGCGACTATGCTTCCCGACTTGATGCCCCACCTGCCTCCGTTCAATCCAACCTCTGAGACGTCTTGTTCACCTTGTGTCTTTTCACGAATCTCTCTCTCTCTCTCTCTCACTTTCGTTTCTTTTCTCGAAATTACTTAGGATCCGGGACGCGTAAACATGAGCGCGCATAAGAGCCTTTGGGGGGTGCCAGGCCCGGGACCGGGAACAATTTACGGGGCTGCGAGAGACGTAAAATTTCGACAGAGTTTCGAAGCCGCCGTGCAAGCCGGACAAATTGCTCAGTCTGCTTGTGTAAAGATAAGTTTTTTACGAGTACCGTCAGGACGGAAACGTGGCGGTCGCTGTGATACCCTGGGTTTTTGCTATTGCGGATAATCGACGGCGCCGCCGAAAAGTGAAACTGAATCTCGGAATTCGGAGATTAGCGCAGCGATCTCGCTTGAATCCTCTGTTTGAATTTTATTTATTATATTGAAGTATTTTTTTTTTTTTATAAGTAAATATTTCATAATTGTTTGAGCAATTATATCTATACGTGCTTCGATATTTTTGTCGCGATTTTTTATACCTGGCAAAAATAAATATCAGCCTAATAAGCGCAACAATCATTTTTTATACTCGAACTTGCGCGTATAAAAGAGAGAATCCGTTCAGCATTTTGCCAGTATCTGCTAGTTTTTAGCGGGGACAGAACGTTCGTTCCTGTCCCGTAACCAAGCGCAATCTCGCCCGCCTATCGACACTTACACGATCATCGATAACCGATCGCACCCCGTTACTCACATTCGCTCGTTTCTTGCCAACTAGCGACGCCTTCGGGCGCCAAGTCGTTTCCGGCGAGATGGCCTCGCTCTCTCTTCTTCTTCTTCTTTTTTTCGCCTATCGCGCGCGCGCGCGCGTCCTGTTTCTATTCCCGGCTGCGGAATGTCGAAATCGTTTCCTCGCACACAACCGCCGAAATTTCCGGCTCGTTGAGTTCCGTTTGCAAAAGGTTTCTTGGATAAACACATTTGCCCCGTTGGTTTGTCTCGAGGTTGGTTCGCTCTCTCTCTCTTCTTCGTTCGCGCTTCCCTCTCATTCGCTTTCTCTTCGCTTTTCTCTCGCGCGAAGGTCGTGTCTCCCGAAACGTCTCTCCGGCGTCTTCAGACCGACTCGGCGAGTGTGAGAATTTAGTTGAATCCATTTCCGAGGTGCCACGTCCTGGGAATCCGATGTTCCTTCATGACCGGCTCTACCTTTTCCCGGTCGACCCTTATTTCGACACGTTCGAGCGTGAAGAAAATAGCGCGCGAGCTCTCTTTTCTTCTTTCTCACGTGGCTGCGGGATATGCGCGTGACGGGCGCGACTTGCGAGCGGCGTCCTCTCACGAAAGAGGAAGAATGTAGCGGGAGATGAAGATGATAGAGGCGTTTCTCTCTCTCTCTTTCTTTACCGAGAGCGTTCGAGGAGGAAAAACTCGTCTTGAAGAGAACCGAGAGGCACAAATGAGTTGGGAAAATATTTTCGATAAAAAACCGAGAAAAAGTTTAATAAAACAAAAACAAAAAAATCACATCAGCCACAAAAATCTTTCGGCAACGATATAGATGACGTACAAATGTGAAAAGTAAGTAAAAAAAAAAAAAAAATAAACTTTTCCTCGAGTACGATAGAAAATTCGTTGTTTCATCGATCTTCTGAGAGTGTAGTTCTTGTGTTTTCTCTTTCTCTTTTTCTTTCTCTTGTATTAATATTATTGTTAAAAACTTGTCGAGAAGTTAAAAAATAGTATTCTCAATGTTACATAATTTTCCTCTGTTTATATTTACCATGCTAATAAAGGCAGCTTATGTAAAAGAAAAGTCGATAATTATGACGGGTTTTCCAACAAACCCCGCCGTCTCTTAAGTCGGTTTCCGCGCGGGTTTCGAGCCCGCGAGAGAAGGTTCGACCGAGGTCTCCTCATCCACCTCGTTTTTCCTCGTTTTCCGTTTTCCGTCCAATCACGACCACGAAATAGTAGCTGCGCCAGGAGGGTTGAAAAGTCTCGAAACTTTCGGGAGTTAATTTGATTTATCGTCGTACCGTCACTTCAGATTCATGCCTCGAGCCGTCCTCCGCCCATTTCCGATTCCTCATCCCGGGAGGAGATCCGCGAGAGAAATTCGCGAGTGGAAGGTTACGCGAGAGATCTCGACGCTTTATAGGGGGAATTTATTATTGATTTCGGGGGGAGGCAGGGGAGGAGGAGCGTTTAAAAGGGTCGTAACTGGCGCCGATTGATAAAAGAGCAACTCCATTGTTGTACTAGGCTTTTCCGTCCAACGAGGATCGACTGAGGAAACTCCCTTTTTCCCCATCCCCCTCTCTCTTTCTCCCTTTCTCTCAGACATCTCTGCTATTCTTTTTCGACCATTCCTGGCCGGATATTGCGTTTCATTGTTCCTGATATAATACGAAGGCAGAAACAGTGAAACGTAAAGGGGAAGACGTTCGTCTTTGTAAACTTCCGGCGCGCTCACCCGGCCTTTTCCTTTTCGACTTCTTTTTCTCTCTCTCTATCTCTCTGTCTCTCTCTCTCTCCCTCTCTCTCTCTCTCTCTCTCTCTCTCCGCACTGCTGTTTGCCTCTACATCTCTATTACACTTCCTTTTTCCGTGTACATCGTTGGCCGTTATTAAGCCCCGGGAAGATAGATCGCGTCGTATACGACGAACGCCGCCGCGGATTTACTCTTCGTGCGGCTGCACAAGGATTATTATTTTCAAATATCGCCTTTACACGCTCGCGGAATTTACGAGCAAGCTCTCCGCCGAGATCTCGTACCAAGATGTTGTTCCGTGTGTTTTAATCACTACGAAGAGACATGCAGTTTTTTATCCTTACGAATCCTTTCGCGATAAATCACATCCGCGACTTTTGCGTGTCTCAAAAACAAAAAAAACAAGAGTAAAAGAGAGAGAGAGAAATAAATAAATTGTGTTAAAGTTTCTATCACGAAAAACGATTTTGGTCTTTGCGTAGCAGAGTTTTCGCGAATTTCGAATTTCGCTCCGCAAGCTCTGCTCTTATTATTAAATCATTCGAAATTAACCATTTGCGCAACTCCATTTGCGCCCGTATGTCTCCAACAGTTATCTCCAAGGAGATTGCAGATTGGAATCGTTCGGCAACGTATTTAACTAGCTCGTTAACCGCCCCGCCTGCGCGATTACCGTAACCGTTACCATATCCACCATATCGGAACGCGCCGCGCCGCGTAGAAGAAGCGATGGAGCGAGCGAGGAAAGAGGGCGGAGAGAGGCAGGGATGGACTTACCTAATCCTAAGCAAACACGGCCTACTCCCGATAGCTCTACCTGTCTGATCAAACATTTGTCTTTACTACTCGGTTGATTAAACGCCTGCCAAGTTTGTACTGCTCCCTCGTGGTAGAAGGGAAAAAGGGAAACTGCGGGGAGAAGCAAAGGCAGATCTCTCTCTCTCTCGTTCGCGAGAGAGTGTCTGCGACTACTTGTGGTACACGAGCGATGACAAGCGTGTCAAGGAGATGGGTCGCCTCGGACTACGCGCGCGTAATTTCTCCGAGGAGAAATGTGACGGCTTTGCCAATTGTGTGTTTCGTCAATATTTAAGATGCCCCTTGAGATTTCGTGCGATTCGCGGTGGAGCATAAATTTTGGAAAATACATGTAGCGATAACGGAAGTCTCTCTCTCGTTCCTCTTCCATTCCTTTTATTGAACATCGAGGAAGGCTTTACCTTAGCCGAGATTAAATGTTGAAATTTTATCAACAGAATCCTTACGAGCGTCGTTAAAAACAGATACAAGTTCCTCTATCCGACTATTACCGGACTCGGAATTATTAAAATTTTGAAGGAAATTAAAAGAGAGAGAGAGAGAGAGAGAGAGAGAGAGAGAGAAAGAGAGAGAGAGAGAGAGAGAGAGAGAGACATCTCTCACAGATTTTAATAAACAATTCCTAAAAAGGAAGTAAAGAAACTCTGGAGCGGAGAAGAGATTCTCTGTGAGGAACGTGCAAAGAGAAGGAATAACGAAAATGTAAATATTTAAGGGACGGTTATGGTTGGTCGAAAGAGAGGAAATCCCTCTCTCTCTTTCTGACAAATCGCTTTAGCCGAAACTCAAATAATCGTAACGAAATATGGTCCGGAGAAAGGCGAAGTGATGACGGTGGGGGTAACAGTAGGTAAGCAGATTTGCTCCACACCAGCAATTTGTCGCGGTGTGTGTAACTTGTTGACACTGAACAATGAAATGCGACTGAATGGAAAATGATGGCTCGCTCGAAAACCCGGCGACACTTCGCGATACGGAATAACCCGGTAATAAATTTATCTTTCTGAAGTAAATATATTTCAAAATTAATTTCACATATCGTAAAATACTCAAAATAAATATTTTATTTATTCTTTCATGTGTGTGTGTGTAAAGGTAATTTATGATCTCTTGAATTTTGAAATAACATTTTGTAGAGAAAATATATATTATAACTCTCGATTCTCATAATTTTTTTCTTTCTTTGTGATTTTTATTTCCTCTCTGAAAAGTTCCGACACAGATGCGATAATTACGTTTTAAACAAATATCGCGAGATATCTCATAAAACCATATAATACACATATGAAAGGTGTCAGAAATAACGCATAAAAATCAAACTCTAAAAATAGAAAGAAGGAGAGGAAAAACAACACGTGACTTTTGAATCGATTGAGACTAAAACGAAATTGATCAGTTCAGTCGTTCTTGAAATATTGCGCCATGAAAATCTTGTCAGTCTTTTCGGTCGCATAAATTTGGCGTATAAGAGCAAAAAAGAGAATATTATATATATTATATATAATATTCTATATCTATATATAATACATATTATATATATACATATATTTATTATTATATTATATATATATATACTATAATTATATATACTATAATTATATTATATATCATGTATAATATATATATACTATAATATACATGATCAAAGTCAGTAACCCCGCCGCGATCACGCGATCGAGGTCGGTGACCCTGCCGCGATCACGCGACCGAGGTCAGTGACCCTGCCGCGATCACGCGACCGAGGTCAGTGACCCCCCCCACCAAGGCCGCGCGCCCGCGGTCAGTGACCCCGCCGCGGTCGCGTGGCCGAGGTCAATGACTCCGCCGCGGTCGCGCGGCCGAGGTCAGTGACTCCGCTGCGGTCGCGAGGCCGAAGTCAGTGACACCGCCGTAATATATATAGTGTAATGCGTATAATACAATACAATATAAGATATACTATTATAAATATATAATAAAATATATATATATATATATA